TTTTTCCCTCAGCCCCTATCCAATCATGCCCAAAGCATGGGCACAAAAGAATTCATTGGTTTAAGGCAAGATGCACAAGATGCAATCACTGCACATTCAGTGACTTTCTTACTTGTACATTTTCTTAAACAAAAACCTTCCCTGAATATTTAAAATTACATGTAACTACCATTTAAATTAAGCATACATGTGTGTATTTTTCATGAAGTTTTTCAGCCCTGCTGTGCACATGGTGTGAGATATCAGGCATTAAATCTGAATGTTGGAAAAACTTTCAGCAATTTTGCCACTGTGAAGTTGGAATACAGAGTCTGGAATTTGATAGTTCAATGCTGTCACTATTAAGGTGTCTGCCATTAATCGTGGTAATTTAATCTTGCATTCCTTTGGCTAGATCTACTGATCATGCAATTGCACTTGTTTATATGTAAATATCTATGCACATCTATTTGCACACCAGATCCCATCTATTGCTCTACTATGTTGTTTTGCATTTTAAATAGTTCACATATAGACCTGGTTAGAACCCTGATGAGAGACCACCAATGAATACCAGGTACTGTAGACTATATTTGACAAGAAGGAGAGAGCAAATCATCTCTGAGCAACCTGGTCTAGAAAAACATTATAAAATTCATGAGGTCACCATAAATTGACAGACAATTTGAAAATGTGTGCATGTGTGTGTTGTGTCAACACACACATATAGGGACTTCCATATATTATGCAAACACACACCCTATCCGTGGATCAGTGGTTTACAACCTAGGATTTTTCATGTTTTTGAAAATCAACTCTCAGAATTCTCAGCTATCATAGCCAATTGTAAGGAATTCTGGGATCTGAAGTTCAAAGCAGTTGGAGCACCAAAGGACGAGAACCACTACTGAAGTGGGAGTAGATTTTTCTCTGTATTTTGCAAAAATAAATATCTCCCTGTTCACTTAATCACTGAAAACTCTGAGAAAAGTAGGCTATTGCATATTAAAACTGATTCCACAATAACAGTCACAAGACCCATCATGATTTCCCTGCAAAACTTTTACAAGATTGCCTATCTGAAACTTATCAGAACATTTTGTAACTTTGTCATAATTAGTCTTGTTTTTAACTACCTTTGTTTGTTCAGCAAGCAGTTTTTTAAAAAAGAGGACACACTGTGGCTTTGATGTTAGTGGGGTGCCAAATCCATTCTGGGTTTAAGTCTGAACTATCCTAGGTGCTCAAGTAGTTTTGGCTTTTCATCTGAGTTATCCATTGTGCTGAACCAATTTAGGGACTAGAATTCAGTATCTTAGGTCAGTCCTTAAAAATTCAGTCCCATTGATCCACTGACATGAAAGCCACCAAATATGTTTAGGAGGCAATGTTTAAATTCTACCTTGTTCTTTTATTGAAACTTGGGAGATCCATCAGCCAAAGGCTTGGGTAAAAGATGTGCACTTAGAATAAAAGGCTTCTATGAGCAGGAATTGATCTTTATTTCACCATTTAGGATGACAGGGGGAGGCTCCGTTTAATTGCTGGCTTCATTATAGAAGTAACAAACTGAATGCAAATTAACCAAGAGCTCAATTCAACTTTCTACACACACACACAAACATATACACACACACACACACACCGCTTTACAGTGCAGACATTTTTAAGTCCTCAAGACATACAGCTACAGCAAGACCTTTATGACTAGACATGTGCATGCTAGTACCACAGTTATTACAATTTTAAACATCAGGAGCTGTCCTTGAGATAAGAACTAAGTAAGGAGAAGAAAGAGAAAGAGAAAACCTTCACTACTGGTCTCATTACTTAAGGTTGACTCTGCATCTTGTGGTTCTAGAGCACAATCTGTTCAGTGCCTTCCAAGTTGCCTGGGCTTCTGTGTTCACAATTCAACTATCTAAAGCAGGGGTTCTCAAGCTTTTCACATGAAGGGCTGGCTTACAGTCCCCCAGACTCTTGGGGAGCACGGAGGACTTTAATTGTGTGCGTCCATGTGTATTGGGTATGCGTACATGAATGCGTGCATCAGCCATGCCACACACCCATCACCGCACATGCATTTGCTCCCACCACCATTACACTTCCACCACCACAACTCATACTCACTCGCCCTCATCTCACACACCTGTCCTCGCTGCTGCAACACACACACTTGCTGCCACCACTGCATGTGTGTGTGTGTGTGTGTGTGACAGTAGCAGTGGGGGGCAAGAAAAAGACATCAACAGACTGGATTGGGCCCAAGGGCCTTAATTTAGGGACCACTGATCTAAAACTTCCAAATATTTTAATCCAAATATGTAAAGCTTGATTCTGCCATAAAGGACACAATTTTACTATGGCCTGGAACCAAATCCCAGGAGGTACCAAGGACTCGCTGTATACATATTTATGCATCTACATGTCTATGTAGAAGAGAACAGCAAAGCTCAGATCCCTCCTTATTTGCCCCTAGAAATATTCAGTGAGCCCCCAAATATTGCCAAAGTGGAAGGCATAATTGGACGAGTCAGGTTCATATTTCCTCAGTTTCTGCTAAAGCACCAGCAAAGGACATATAAATGTACTGGATGCTCATGCATTCATAAGGAGACTTCTGTCAGTTCAGGCTTTGTTCTTCCTTTCTGCAATTGCTGCCCACCCAACCTAAAGGTAAATGATGAGTCCAAGAGAATTTCCCTTTCATGGTGAAAGAGAGTTGTTAGTCTTATATAATCTCTTTAAGGGCCAGAAAACCCTGTTCTTAGATGGAACAGAGACAATTATTTGTTACATTGCACTTGTTCCTTTTCCTCTGACCAATTTTTTTCCTATTCTGCTTTTTCTAATGAATTTTAATGACTTTTTGGAAGAGGTCCGGTACATGCTGCTATTCTCACTTGAGCAACAGCATCTACCTTTGACTCTGAGGGCAAAACCTTCACAACAAAGCTTGAGAACATTTAATTTTCCTGGTATTTTGGAATGCTTGCAGTACTTTAACATTAGCTCTGCTGGCTCCCGGAGCTTATGTAATTTGACCTTTGAAGGGCCTAACGTTCTCCATTACAGTCAGATAGGAATTTCTGGATTCTTTGCAGGTGAGCTGGCATGTTGGAGAGATTCCTTGGTTGAGGGATGTAAGTCAAAATAACATCTGGGGGAAGGGGGCTTATCCCCCAACAGCACTTTGAGCAACTTGGAAAAAGGGGGGGAAAGATGATATATATGAAAGAAACACAATAAAAGCAAGGTTGAATTGCTCTTCTTTGTTTTGTAGGAGTTTGCCCTTATTCTTTGCATGTTATTAATGCCTGCTTCACCAACTGAGGTAGACCCATAATTCATTAATGGGTGTAGAAAACTGATTTTATTTGATTTACACAAACATTTTATCATTTATGTTCTTCATTTTAGTCACTGTAGACACTATGAATTGGAAACAGGATGGAACTTCAGCTGGGAGAACATACCCCCTGATGACAGGTGACTCCATCAAATGTAGTGGTAAGAATCTCACAATTCATCTTGTTCAACAGGGCCCCTGACCCTCTTTGTAGTTTTTGGGGAAATGAACTGTGGGGAGAAAGGGCACCTTTCACTGAGAATTTGAAAGGATGTCATGTTGAAGATGAAGCAAGCTTGTTTTCTACTGCTATGTACATTAGAATATCAATCACCTTATTCAAATTACAAGAAAAGAGCTTATATCCCAACATTAGAAAGAACCTTTTTAACTATAAGTTTTTGACACTGGCTTAGACTGCCTTAGAGTTTTTGAACGTAGATTGGATGGCCATTTTCAAGAAGTGCTTTAGTTGTATGTTCCTGCATGGCAGGGAATTGAGTTTGATGGCACTTGTGGTCCCTCCCAACTCTATGATTTAATAGACTCTAAATACATAAAATACATAAATAACACTATGTAACACAAATTTTGTTCCTGAGTTATAAATGTCATTTTTTTAATTGGTTCTATCATAAAAACATGGGGAAGGTTTTTTAAAGTTCAGAAATTTTGTTTTTGTGGGACATCCTGCAGTACATTTTGCTATGGATTTTCATGAATATCTCCTAGAGTCTCATCCAATTCAACACAGTTTGTGGCAGCCACTAAAATGAAGTTTCTGGACTATTACAACTACTTTCAAAGTAAGTACCACACAATTAAACAGAAATAACAATTTCAATCCAGGAACAGAACATTTTTAATAATTTTGCAATCATAATGCATGTTCAAACATACCCAAACACCTCATTCTACAGCAGTGGTTCCCAGCCTTTTTTGACCATGGACCACTTGACCAGGGACCACTTGAAAAGGGACCAGTTTGACCAGAGACCACTCTCCAACATTAGGATCAAAAGGGTTACTAGAATCAGTTTTTGATCAACTTTAGATTTGGTTTGGTTATTTGGGGTGCTGATTCAGAAAATTGCATTGGGTAGATCACATCAGCTCTAGTTTCTGATACAGAACATACTCAATTCAGTAGTCGCCATCTTCTTGCCCACAGAAAACTATAATTAATAATCTAGAGCTGATGTGGTAGTAGTAATTTTTCATGGGTAGTCAGTCTCTCCCCACCTCCTGTTGGCTTGGCACTATAAGAGGGTTTTGTGAAACCAGTCACTCTCGTTGCCACATGGTAGTAATGGTGAGGCTGCAGACCATATTTTTGTTCTTGTGGACCACTGGTGGTCCATGGACCACAGATTGGGAACCACTGTTCTATAGAAAAGGAAAGACAAAGCAAAAAAAGAATGGAAGCACCTTGTCAAGGGCCACCCTAGAGACCAAGTGGTCACTGTTTGTGACACCTTGGAAAGGTCCAGTGCATTCTGAGGCATCACTGGAACTTTGGCACCTATCACTTCTTCCTTCGTGACGGCACACACTTGTCTTTGTGGACTGGCTGCCCTTGTGGATAGGAAGTCTGGTGTTACAAAAGGGAAAGGATATTAACCGCTGGAAAGCTAACATCCTCTGCAGTTCTTCGAAAGATTTTCCTGCCCTGTCCCCACCCCTCTTCCTGGTTGGACTAATATATCCGTCTCTGGTTCCCAGCCATTAGAGATAACCCTCAGTGTTGGTGTGCATGTGTCTGTGTCAGGCAAGGAAAGTCCCAGGAATCTGATCATGTTAGACTGCTCCTTTTGAGCCAAAATCATGTTTTCAGGGTAACATGCTATGTTATTCATTTCCTGTGAAGAGGGAGATAGGAGAGAAAGAAAAGCACCCTAGCGGCACGCAGCCAGCATATAACACATTTTCCTGGAAAGGCTGTACCGCGGACCAGGGAAAGTACCACAGAAGCTAAGGGGTTCTTCTCTACACCATCAGGATCATCTTTCATTCCCCTAAAAGGTAAGCAGTGCACCAGCCATTGAGGAGGTTTTTGTTCTTGAAACCTGTTACTAGCAATCTATTTGGAAAAGAAATATTTCTAAGAACATATCTGATACAGATGTCAGATTTCCTTCTGTTTAAAATACAGGACTTTCTTTTTCTTCGTCCAAATGCTGTAGCGAAAATGCACAATTTCTCTCCAGCTGAAGTTTTGCATTTTAGTTCAGAAGTTTGCCAAGTTCATTACTATTGTTCACTGCAATGAACTTTTACTTGTATCATTTTATTTTTTGGAATCCACTTTAAGCCCTGGGGCTGAGGAACAGGTGGCATTCCAACATCTTACATCCAAAATTTGATTGACTAAAGGTGGAGCTATGCAATAGGTGTTCTTGTGCTGTGGTGGAATGGGAAAGAGGATAAGAGACTTGAATGCAATTTGAAGACAATAGTAATACTTGGTTAAGTGGCAAGCATTAGGAAAAGAGAAAGATTGCATTAAAAGTGGCAATTCAATCAAGGAAGCCACAACCCTGAGTTTGCAAAACCTGAGCAGGGCTATTGATGACTTGGAGATCATTCATTCAAAGAGTCATCATAAATCAAAGTTGACTTGACTTCAATTAACACCAAGCTGCTATGCATAGTATTAAAGTTACCTTGGGTTCCAGTGTAAGTAAAGATAACAACAGCCATAATGCTCATCCCATTTTTATGTTAAACCCTCTTGGTAGTATTTTGTGTTGTTATAGAAAAACTAAAAACACTTTTAAGCCATAGGCCACAGTGAGCTGAAATAATATGGCAAAACCTCATGTAAACCACTTTTAACTTTTTTGAAAACCAGTTGTCTTTCTGCCACCTAAGTTTTATTTGACTATTTGGGAAAGCAGGATGTGTGACATTTCCAGTCGTGGCTCATAGTATTCACATCAATGGGGTAAGTTTCAGTCTGAAAATTTGAAGAGCTATCCAAAGTTCTAAAACAAGTTCAAGCATAGGATCCAGCACCTTGGATAGTGTCTTTAAAATCTAGATTGAAACTTGAAGTGGCTTTCCTCCCTCACTGGCGGGGAAGCAATAAATTGCTACTGTATTTATCCAATTATCGCTTCACTGAGCCCAACATTTAAAGGGAGAGCTTTGTGAAATCTAAAAGCCAAAGAGTCACCCACCCAAGCTCACATTCAGCCTAATCCAGCAATTGTTAACCTGGGGTTTGGTACCCCTGGGAGGGGGTCATGAGGGGATGTCAGAGGGGTCACCAAGGACCATCAGCAAACACAGTATTTTCTGTTGGTCATGGGGGTTCTGTGTGGGAAGTTTGGCCCAATTCTGTTGTTGGTGGGGTTCAGAATACTCTTTGATTGTAGGTGAACTATAAATTCCAGCAACTACAACTCCCAAATGTCAAGGTCTATTTTTCCCAATCTCCACCAGAGTTCACATTTGGGCATATTGAGTATTTGTGCCAAGTTTGGTCTAGCTCCATCATTGTTTGAGTCCCCAGTGCCCTCTGGATGAAGGTGAACTACAAGTCCAAAACTCAGGTCAATGCCAACCAAACCCTTGCAATATTTTCTGTTGTTAATGGGAGTTCTGTGTGCCAAGTTTGGTTCAATTCCATCATTGGTGGAGTTCAGAATACTCTTTGATTGTAGGTTAACTATAAATGATAGCAACTACAAAATGACAAAATCAATCCCCCACACCCCACCAGTATTCAGATTTGGGCGTAAGGGTTATTTGAGCCAAATTTCCAGTGAATGAAAATATATCCAGCATATCAGATATTTACATTACAATTCATAACAGTAGCAACATTACAGGTATGAAGTAGCAATGAAAATAATTTTATGGTTGGGGTCACCGCAACATGAGGAACTATATTAAGGCGTCACAGCATTAAGAAGGTTGAGAACCACTGGCCTAATCAAAATTTACCATTTGGAACATTTTCAGATATCATTGTCTATTGCTAAGATCAATCCAGCCTCTTGTAAATTCTTTTAAAATCAGTATGTGGGAAACATTAGTAGGATCTTAGTTCATTCAAATCCCAGAGTCCATTTCTGGAAGGAAAACGTCTCCAAATTCAGGAATGGAAAGACACCTGTTGAAGAAATACTTGCAAAACTGCTATAAAAATAACTTTCAACTTCCCTTCAGTTGTATTTCTGGATGTTTATTCGTGCTGAGAAAGTTCAAAGGGAGTTGTGGCTCAACATTTAAGCATTCTGTACCTAATGTGGTCCAGGGAATGTCACTCAGGTGGCTGGGCTAGAAAAGGACTTAGTCATCCCAGATCCAGTATGAGCAGGCAGCACTGGACTAGATACACTTGTGGTCTGAATTAGGATCCGCTTTCATTTGCCCTCTAATAGCCATGGTATATTCTTGTATGGTTGAGGCAGCAGTAGTTGCAAGTTACTGCATGTAACTTCATACAATCTGTCACCAGCCTAAGAAAACAATGTATTGTGTTCACTGGATTCATAGGGAATGTCTCAATGGAAAATGAAGAGAGGATTCAGGCTCAAAAGTCAAAAGCTCAGCTTGCTTCTGGAATCGAAAACAAATTCATAGGCCCAGGATATTGCTATAGGCAATCTGTTATTAAATTCTAAATACACTCAGCTCTCCATACTAGGTTAGGAATGCAAGGTTAGGAATGCAAGAAAATGGGGAAACTGTGCATTTAAAAAACAGCTTCTTTATATCTAGGAATCTCTAGGCAGGCTGTGTTGCCCAACTGACAAAAGTCCTTTGTCTTACCCTGGTCATTCCACAGATATATAAACCCTTTTTCCCCAGTTGCAACAGACCTCACTACCTCTGAGGATGCTTGCCATAGATGCAGGCGAAACGTCAGGAGAAATGCCTCTAGAACATGGCCATATAGCCCGAAAAAACCCACAAGAACCTAGTGATTCCAGCCATGAAAGCCTTCGACAATACATTATAATTAAAATTATTACAAAAAAGGGATAAATTAATAGGCAAATACCAATTCTTCAAGTCTAAAGTGTCTGATTCTTTATGCTTTGTGTTTGTGTAAGAGAGGCATTTGTGAATACAGAAGAACCCACCAAAAGTGGAAGACCCATTCTTAGGTTGATTGCTGCAGTGTTTAGTCAGAACGAGGTGAATCTGAGCTTGGAAATATACTACTTTGAGGGACTACAACTCCCTGAATCTTCCAGCTGAATGTAGACTTTACAAAAGGGAAACAAACACGCTTTTCAGGTGTACTTAAGAAAAACTGTGACTGACCCACAGCATCCCAACCAGAGCCCTGTGTAAAAAAACCAACAACATATAGAGTCAGCCCTCCACATTTGCAGGTTTAACTTTTGTGGATTTGATTATTTGTTGTTTAGGAATCTCTAAGTCTTCCAGCATGACTGTATGGCCAACCTTTGGGATAGGAGTTATGTTGGAGGACCTTGAGCAGGAGAGTCAAACTTGTGGCCCTCTAGATGTCTGGATCTCCAACTCCAAGAATCCCTAGCCAGCTTGTCCAATAGCAAGAAATTCTGGGTGCTGAAGTCCAAAACACCAAGTCACAGTAATTTACCACCGCAGTTAGAGGATCACAGCTTGATTGAATCTAAATTGATGTTCTTATATGTGCATATGTTTTATTTTATTGTAATTTATATTGTGTTCACTTTTATGTTTGTTTTTAGGCACTTTGTGCTGTCTGTAAACTGCCCCAAGTCCCATTGGGGAGATGGTGGAAGGATGTAAGAATAAAGTTGTTGTTGTTGTTGTTGTTGTTATTAGTTTGACACAGCCTGCCTAGAGATTCCTAGATATAAAGAAGCTGAATTTTAATTATAATTTTAGAATGGGCAAATTTACATAAAATAGGGGTAAAATAATTTAGGTAAATTGTGGGGGAAAGAGGGGAAGGGAATGATTAAAGAGTGGGAGGGAGGGTAAATCTAAAAGATTGGAGTGTGGTATGACAGGAGTGGGGGATAAGGGGGAGCAATAGAGTTGGGAAAGGGAATTTGTACTTCCATTTTTCTCTATAGTGGTGTTTAAAAGTTCATTATAGTCCTTTATTTTACTTCTTCTTTCTGCTTTCCTAGCGATAGTACCTTCTATCATCTATTCTCTTCTTTTTAGATTAATTATTTTATTTTATTTTCCTTCAACCATTCTATAAAAGGAGACCAGTCTGTTGTTTTGATATATTTGCCTTGTGATTTGGAAACTAGTGATGTTAGTTTGTCCATTCTCATGATCTCTAGCATTTTCTCTATCCAGTCTTCTCTTGATCTTTTTGTCTCCATACTCAGGTATATACCAACCTCGCTGCCATGGTTGCAAATGTGAAAAGTTGGTCTTTATTTATATTCCAGTCCATATTTGTCATCCCTAACAAAAAGTATTCGGGGTGCATTCGGGAATTTTTCTTTCAATATTTTTTGGCATAGTTCATGATTTTCTTTCCAGACACCTCTTGCTTTCTCACATGACTACCACATATGATGAAAGGTTGCTTCCTGTTTCTCACACTTCCAACAGTTATGGTTATAATTTTTGCTGTTTTCTTTGGGGTTAGTTGATACATCCAGTTCTCTTTTAAGTCATAAGTGTAGGTATATTTCAATTTTTTGTTCCACATTAATTCCCATTCATCAAGCATTATTGTCCTTCCCATATTTCTTGCCAATTTAGTCATATAATCTTTTATCTGTTCTTTCTCTGTACTTCAACCCAATAGTAATCTGTAAATTTTTGCAATAGTTTTCTTCTCATTTGTTTGTATTTTGTCTCAGGCAAACATCTTTTCTTCAAATCCTACTTTACGGTCTTTATTGTAGTATTCTTTTATTTGTCGGCACTGACACTAAGATATATTCCTGAAAGGTTTTTTTATTATTCTTGGGTTCTTAATTCAAAATCTTTCCCTTCTTTCCTTAAAATGTCATGGTATGTAGGCCAGCCTATTAATTTATTCTGACAAGGAGGAAAAATGTAACCTGGATGTATGAAAAATAACTCCTTCCTTTCTTCTTACAGTTAACCTTCCTACTCAGAATGGGAGAATCTGAGGCTCATTTGGATGAGGAGTACCACAACCTGACAGAGCTTTTCCAGATGCTCAACTATTCCTTCAGCCATTGCGAGATAGGGCTGGATGACAACACAAAGCGGGTGTTCCTCTTTGTCCTCTACCTCATCATCTTTGTGGTGGGGCTGGTGGAGAACCTCTTGGTGATCTGGGTCAATTGGCAGACCCGAAGCTACAAAAACTTGGTCAACCTATATATTTTCAACATGGCTATTGCAGACTTAGGGGTGATTCTTTCCTTACCAGTCTGGATGCTAGAAGTAATGCTTGATTACACCTGGCACTGGGGAGATTTCCTCTGCCGCTTTGCCCATTATTTCTACTTGGCCAACATGTACAGCAGCATCTACTTTCTGACCTGTCTCAGTATTGACCGCTATGTATCATTGACAACATCTTCCCTCTTTTGGCACAAACATCAGCATCTTGTACGACGAATTGCTTGCTGTTGCATCTGGGCCTTTGCTGCCATCGTTCCTTTACCAGAGGTAGTACACATGGAGCAAATTGGCACCAGTGATCCATTCTGTACCTTCATGGCTCCCTTTGAGACCTACAGTACTTGGGCTCTTGCTCTCACTCTTCTAACTTTCTTCGGTGGGTTCCTCATTCCCTTCTCAGTCATGGCTGTCTTCAACATACTGACTGCCAAACACATCAGAAGCTCTAACAAACCAGAAGGAAAGAAACACTGCCTCCTCATCTATGCCTACATAATTGTTTTCCTGATCAGCTGGCTGCCATTCCATTTGGTGCTTTTACTTACACTTGAAGGTGCCGGAATCATCGATCATTGCTACTGGCTTCATTTCCTCTACTTCTTCTATGACATCGTAGACTGTTTCACCATGGTCCACTGCATGGTCAACCCCATCTTGTACAACTTCCTGAGCAAGAACTTCCGAGAAAAACTCATCTCCGCTGTGGTCAAATATATCCCCAAGGATCAGATGGATCGGAAAGATAAAGAGGGTTCCTCCAGCACCCAGCATTCTATTGTCATCACAAAAGACAACATCTCACCAAACTAATGCTTTCTATGCTCTATTGCCACATTCAGGTAACAAAACCCAGTGTATTCAAAGATTTCTCCCACTGACAGAGGGCTGGCCTCATTGAGATGTTCTAATTGTTAGCAGAATTCAATGTCTTCCCATCTAGGGACCAGAAGTCACCCAAGGTGAAATATGGGAATGCTGTTCTGTCACTTAAAATGAATTTGACAAAGTGACTGATAAGTTTTTATTATTAATTCCTTCTTCCAAATTCCCTATTTACCTGCCCTCCCACACCAATAAATATGGTAATGAATGTTTCTGCTGCCATGAAATTTTACTGTTGCAAAGATGGACATTTCTGTGACTTGCCTCTCCTGTTTGTACAGTTTTGAATGGAAAATTTATTCTGGAAACACTGCCCTATCCTTTCACTCAACAGACTGGGCCATGCATGGATCAGAACTTCATAACATATAGCTGATGCAGTCTGGAATGGTGAAATTGACATCTCCTATGATAAAGGAATAGACATGGACTATTATCTAAAAATATTCAGATAATAGATTTTAAAAATTATTTTCCTGAACCTCAGTAAACACTAACAAGAATATTTGCAGTTTTGGATTTATTCTGTGTGGAAAACTCAAGTCAGATCAGTTTTTTGTTTTGTTTTGTTGAAAAATGAGCTTTTATGCAAAAAATTAGATTTCCTGCTCAGAAACCATGATTTTCTGAGCAGAAAATAATGTCTTCTATAGAGAACATTATATATTCCACACAATCCTTTCCCGTGGTTTTATTTTTCAGTGTGGAAAGAGCATGGCTAACCAGCTGTACCCCCAAATGCCAGAGTTTGAATCCCCTTTGAAGGGACTCATATACACTTGGAAGATTTGCACTGTTTGCAGATGTCCCAGCCTACCTTCCAGCTTTTGCTTTTTGCATTTGCTCTTTTGGAAAATGTTATGTCTCTCCTTCCCGAATTCCTTTCTTCCTGAGTTGCACTTTACTCATGAGAAAAGAACATCCCAAAGTCTTCTTGTCCTTTCTAGATTTTCAATAAATGAGATAGTCCTACCATGAAATATTTCTCAGCATTGGTTATCTGTGCTTGAAGTTGTAAAGAATATAGAAGCAGTATGGTTTCAGTTCAGATTATTCACATTAGACAGACAAGAGTAGAAGTGGGAAAAGAGGGAACCCACAGTTGACAAAGGTGGAATGTGTGGAAAATTGGGTTTAAAATAAACACCAGTTTCGGGTATTAGCCAAATTGGATTTTAGAAGACCACGTGTCAGAGAGCCAGTGTGTTGCAACGGTAAATCAATGGACTACAATTCTGGAGACCAGGGTTTGATTCCCCGCCCAGTCGCAGAAACCACTGGGTGACCAGGGCAGGTCACATACTCTTTCCCCCAAAATCCAATTAAAGGATTGCCTCAGGATTGTCATAAATCAGAAACGTAAGGACAATAAAACATGCTAAAATTGTTTCCACCAACCATATTCAACAAAAGCTAACACTTCAGCCTGATTGTGATGTTTTTGTCTTCCACAAAAATAAGTTATGATTTGGACCATGTGCTTTGGAACAAGGAAAGAGCACTTTCTTCAAGTTCAAGGTGGAACATGGGAAGAAGTGCTGAGCCAAATGTTCCCGGCACATCCTACTTAATCTTCATCCTGATAGAACATAGATTGAGGCCAAGTTTAATCTCCGAACAATATGAACAGGAGGTTGAAGTGGAGATTACTAGAAATGTGGTTAATCAATCACTGTGGGTGGGGGGGGGGGTTGTTTGTTTTTTTAAAGGGAAACAGGGTATTTATCCAAGGCTCAAGGACATGTATATATATCAGGACTAAGAAATAATAATAAAATCCTTGGACGGATTTCCAGTAAAAAAAGCTCAAGACTAAGAAGGCAGGGTGTTCAGGAAATGCACACTGAACTCTTACAACCATATTTTATCTATGAGCATTTGAATATGGCACGATTTTTTCAGATTATCCAGCCAACTAGATACCAAGAGGGAATAAATCAAGTCAAAACTATGTTCAATCTGAAACAAAGATATTTAAGTTCTTAAGACATAAAACATACAAATTAATTCCCCCCCCCCAAAAAAAAAACATGTAGGAAGTGCATGCCAAGATATTTATTATTATTTATGTTATTATTTACTATATTTCTATCCCGCCTTTCTTGAACCCAAAGGCGATTCAAGGCAGCTTACAACCAGTCATTTGATGCCTTAACAATATACACTTAAAACTACATTTAAAACAGAATTTAAAAGTACAAACAAGACCTTGAAGAAACATATAAAACCAATATATAAAACTACTACCTTCGCTGTTATCCTCTGTCCAAAATTGTCAGCTGTTCCAATACTGAATTTCACATAATTCCGTGTTTCTCTATTGCACTAGATTTCAAAGGCTTGTTCAAATAGCCACATTTTCACATTTTTACGGAAGGTCAAGATGGAGGGGGTTGATCTAATATCCCTAGGGAGGGAGTTCCACAGCCGAGGGGCCACCACTGAGAAGGCCCATCTCTCATCCCTGCCAGTCACGCCTGTGAAGAAGGCTGGACCAAGAGCAGGTCCTCCCCAGACGATCTTAAGCTCCTAGATGGTTCATAAGGAGAGATATGTTCAGACAGGTAAGCTGGGCCGCTTAGGGCTTGAGTTTCTAACCAGTTATCATTTAATTGTTCCCACACAAGTTTCCCAATATACATAGATAGGCATTACTTGTGGAAGTAATGAGAGGTGCATTTGCTAACTCTCATAGCAAATTCAGACAGCCTTCTAACAAGCCCATACACCTTCTAGCCGATTGAGGGAACTTCAGACCGAGCTCTACAGGAGTGGAGTATTCCTTCCATGTGTGGCATGACAGCTGTCTCTTGTCTTCATCATCCAATATTGCCCAGCAATAAAGCAAGCTGGTTAGTTTCTACTACAAACAGTGAGGAACAAGAACAACAATGAAACGCTTCAAGTTTTTCTTTTATTATTCTAAATAAAAAACACAACTTTTGTTTCAAACAATGGGAGTATAAAAAAATCTGATGTACAACCATTTTAGACATCTACCTTTTGTTTCCTTTGGGGAAGGAGAAGAGTTTTACAAAATATACAAACTGTACATCCAATAGATAGGAAACACTTAAATAAACTGGAAGTCAGTACCTATCATTAGCTTAACCAAAAGGTTAGACATGATGCCGTATTTTATTCTTCTGTTTCACTTCAAGACATCTGGATCTTTGGAAGAAAACAAGGAGTTTGCAAAAAGAAAATTATAATGTCTTAATCTCCAAAACACTTTTTAAAAAAAAAAATTGACACTGCTCTGCATTGGAGTAGAATCCCTGCTCCATGCTTGATCCTCCCCTGCTGTGGCGGTAATGATGGGGAGACATTTTTCACAAATGGTAGCATGTCAAACAGAGTGAAGTCATTTAATCGCAATACTTTATTTTTCTAAGTCTAAGGATTTCAAAGCACTTTTTGGACACTTGGTACACCTCACAATGTTTCCCCAGTGAGGTAGTTTTTTAGATTAATTCCTGTTCTTGGAGTATAGCAGTGGTTCTCAACCTGTGGGTCCCCAGGTGTTTTGGCCTACAACTCTCAGAAATCCCAGCCAGCTTACCAGTTGTTAGGATTTCTGGGAGTTGAAGGCCAAAACATCTGGGGACCCACAGGTTGAGAACCACTGGAGTATAGGGATAAGTTGGAGTGTGTAAGTGCAGGCAGGCAATTTCACTCATCCAAAGCTACACTCAAGACAGATGTTCAGAATCAGACACCATGCTCTAGTTTTCTGTGTTCCAAATGCCCTAACCACAGCCTCAGGATTCAAAACTTCATTTTTGCCAAACACTCTCAAAACAGAATTTTCTGGAGCTGACACTTTTTGCCTTGTGAATTACTAGACAGATTTGGCACTGAAAAATGAGAGAAAAGGAGCTCTATGGCCCTGCTTTGACTTGAACATGAGACAGGGATTTTTCCTAGACAAGATGTAAATTTTCTTTTTCTTTATTCCCAATGGTGGCTGCATCCTACTTAGGTAAGCTCTGCACATTACACAATGCTGGAAATACATTAATAATTAGTGCTTTGGATGACAAATTGCAGAGACCGAAACTGGACCTAGTCTGCTGAGCTTTGAAGGAATATCTACTTATAGGAGCCCTCTTCCCAGTGGTGCTGAGCTGCTGAACTTGTTGACTGAAAGGTCACAGGTTCAAATCCGGGGAGCGGAGCAAGCTCCCGCTGTTAGCCCCAGCTTCTGCCAACCTAGAAGTTCAAAAACATGCAAATATAGGTAGATCAATAGGTACTACTACAGTAGGAAGGTAACGGTGCTCCATGCAGTCATGCCAGCCACATGACCCTGGAGGTGTCCACGGACAATGTTGGCTCTTTGGCTTAGAAATGGGGATGAGCACCAACCCCCAGAGTCAGACACGACTGGACTTAATGTCAGGGGAAAACCTTTGTCTTTACCTTTGCCTTTTAATAGCATCCCCTCCAGGAGAGAGGTAGTGTGAAATTCCTTGAATAATCAGACTTTGCATAACAAGGGGACTAACCTTCTGTTCTTGGTCAGCAACAAAGTTTGCTATACTTTAGGTTCAAACAATCCCAAGTCTGTATCTGCATAGCCTTAGCCCAACTATTAATTTTCTAAAAGTAACAAAACTTAGTACAGGTTGAGTAACACTTATCCAGAATTCTTAAGTTTAAAATACTCCAAAATCCAAAACTGTCTACATGGATGGTTGATGGTTGCTTGCCCACAAACCTTGTTTCCTGCATACAGTTTTTAAAAATACTGTATACAGTTAATTTCAGGTTGTGTGTATGCAGTGGATATGAAATATAAATTATTTCATATTTAGTCTTGGGAACCAACTACAAGATATTAAATTATGTATCTTTGGAAATACGGGTATTTGAAAAACTAGAAATAAAATCTGCAATACTTCTGGCTGCAAACATTTTGGTTAAGAAAGATTCAACCTGTAGCAGTTAAATCCTGAGGCAGCTCCTTAATCCTCACCAACAACTTTGCCAATTATTCCTGGAAATAGCACTGTCTGACACAGTTTAGCTAAAGGTTTTATTTTATCCTCTTTTCTTTGTCTTTTTTGGTGTTTGCCAACCTGAGGCCACAGAAAAGAAAAGGGCGAAGACATGTGCCTAAATATCTTCTGCAGAATAAAACTATCTTAAAAGCCTTGGATATGAAAATGAGACATAAATAAGTGCTCCCCCCCTCCCCAACCCTTACTGACACACATCAAAATAGATAATCTTCACAACATCCTTAGAGGTAGGTACTGTCAGCAGAAGCAAAACCAACCTGCCCAAGGTCACCCTACTGGAACCAGAGTCAGAGATGAGTCAGGGACCCCTACAACATTTTCATTCTCTAGTTAAGACCTAGATCAATGGTTCTCAAGGTGTTTTGGCCCAGAAATCCCAGCCAGTTTACCAGCTATTAGGATTTTTGGGAGTTGAAGGCCAAAACACCTGGGAACCCACAGATTGAGGACCACTGACCTAGAGCAAGCTTTCATGGATTTCCCCTTTCCTGTAATACCAGTCACCAGTGTTTTTATTTATGGAAGTCTGAGAACTTAGTAGTACACAGCAGTAACTTTTAAGACTCCAGAACATCCTCCCTTTGAGGTAGTTTACATTAATCCAAAGAGCGGAGCTCAAGTCAGCTGCTACATATATCAACATTCATCTCACACATCCATCCCTCCTGCATGGATTTCCCACAGAACTGCACTTGGGGGGAAAAACCTGTTTGCAACACGAAGAACAATCCGCTAGACAAGGCCAATGCCTGTAGCCTGTGATCTCCTTCTGTTCAGTCCTTCCAATTGGAGGGATGGGGGGGGGGAGGGTATCCTACAGTATCAAGTCACTAGGTTCTATTTATTGTTAGCTACACATATGCTGAGTTTTCACTGCTCTGGAGACAAAATCTCTTCATGGCAAACCCAGTTCCTTCCCTTCTGAAAACTGGTGTCAAGCCAGAACACCCATTGGTTCTTCATTTTAAAAAGAAAAGAGAAAGGATAGAGATGTGTGGGCTGTAGGGGGTTCAGGGGAGTGTAACCATCAAATACTAAAAGAGAAAAAAGCAGCATGTTGCCCTTCAGAGAAGGGGAAAGAGGTAATTTTGTTAGTGTTTCCCACTACAGGACTGAAACAGCATTCCAGCAGGGAAGTGCTTGACTTCTGAAAACTTTTAGGAACATTATAACAAGAACTTTACTGAACAGTTCTACAGCAGAAGTAGGGAGAGGTAATGTTTCTCAGCACTTGTGATACCATAGGCACTGAAGAAGGAAAGAAGGAACCACTATTACTGAAGAGCAAGACACAGTGGGTTCTCAATCCTAGCAGTAAGCACAACAGACAGACATCCTATCCAGGTAAATCATGGATAAGCCCACTAGTGGATAACTGCTGGAAGATAGCAGGCTATATTGATTTCTCCAGGGATGTCTTGGAAGGGTGTGCCCCTGCAAAAATATTTTACCCCCAAATGCCTAACACCCATTTAGGGGATAGGACAATTTCCATTACATTTTCAGCCATCATGGACCATTTTAGGCCTAAAACAGTGGTTCCCAACTTTTTTTTGACCAGGGACTACTTGATCAGAGATGACTCTCCAACATTACTACCAAAAGGGTTACAAATCAGTTCTTGGTCAACTTTAAATTCAGTTTGGTTTTTTAGGGTGCTGATTCAGAAAATTGTATTGGATAGACCACATCAGATCTAGTTTCTGATACAGAACATATGCTATCCAGTAGTCACCATCTGCTTGCCCACAGAAAACCATATTTAATAAGTCTCGGCACTATAAGAGCTTTGCGAGACCAGTCACTCTCATTACAACGATGTAGTAACAGTGAGGCCGCAGACCATATTTTAGTTATTGCGGACCACTGGTGGTCCACAGACCACAGGTTGGGAACCACTGGTCTAAAAGAGGGCCGAAAGTTGGTTTTCAAGCTACTTATGTTGACGAAAGACTCAAACTGCACCATTCTGACCAAAAACTGGAGAAACTGTCTTCATCACACACCTGATAAGGGCATTTGGAAGGTAATTCTATGTTAAGAGTTCAGGATCCTGGGACCACAAAAATAAATCTGAGATCAGATGCTATCTATGAGATGCAATTTTCCCACCCTTAAATTACTTCCTTTCCTTTTTCCTCTTGCTTCAGGTAAACCAAATTCTTTCTTTTTTATCAAATTAAGCACCACATCCATTGTTTTATTTATGTTAATCTCCATGCTTCATCCTAAGAAATGGAATGCTGCAAGCTGCTCCAAAGACTGAGGTATCATGCAACTTGGTGTAATAGGCATTAGCCAATTAGTGCCATCCATTGCAGATTTTGCTGCAGACCTGTAGAAGTAGGCATCTGAGGGTGCCATATTTTTCACAGCTCCGTCCTGGAGACAGGGATATAATTGTACTGCATGAGGCAGGGAACATTCAAACTGATTCCACTGCTCCAAAGTGCTACTTTGAGAAAATATGTTGGTCCCACCAAACTAATGCATAAGAGGATTTATTCTGCCCTTCAAGTCACCTGGAAAGACCCTACTTCTTTTCTTCCTCCTTCTAGAGATATTTCTTTAAGGCAATGAAATATTTTCAAGAACAACTATGCACTCCTCTCCATGTCACAGAAACATAGAGTTGACAGTGATCACAAGGGCCATCTGTTTTGAGAACTCAATCCCACGGAATTCATAACGAACTATCATGTAAACGTGTACAGAATCGCAGCCCATAAAGAGGATTCTTAGTCCTGCCAACATAGCTATAGTAATCAGAAGCCTTAGGTATGAACCACTGGACACCAGTATTTTTCTGGACATGTGACTGGCAGAATCCCAAGCAAGAATTTAGATACTACAGTGTGAGTCAACAAAGAAATTCAGTGCATTTTTTAATGCCCAGGGGTGTTTCCTTTTTTGCTAATAGCCAATCATTCTTTCTCAGGATACTCCGGCCAAAGCTTTATCCAAAAAGTTTGTATTTGGAAAAACTCTGCTCTATTGTACCATACACCTGCCAAGACCTTTTTATTTGTTGTCCTTTATGAAACCAATTTCTGATTTTCTGATAAAGGGCAAAAGGCTAAATATGACACAGTGCGAGAAAGGATTAACACATTGCCACACACAAGCCTAGCCTTCCCTTGTGCATTCAATGTCAGTCTTCCCTAGAGCAATGGTTCTCAGGCTCTGGGCCTCCAGTTGTTTGAAGTTTCAGTTCCCAGAATCCCTGATCATCTATCATAGTGGCTGAGACTTCTGGGTGCTAAAGTTTGAAATATCTGGAAGAGCAAGCATTAAAAAATATTAAAAAATTACCTGACAAGAAGCCAGCCAAAAAACATCTTACTAGAAGGAAGCAACAAGTAAATATGCTCAGGACTGCACTGTGAGCTATTCCAACTTTTTATCCTCTAAATAACCAGGCAGAAAAAATGTTTTTGCTTCCACTTTCTTTCTTGTTATCCCCACTGATGTGGAGCATCAATATATCTTAGCAGCATAAATCTTTTAATGATCTCAGCTTGGAAACGGCAATGGTGGAGGAGGGAAAAGTCGTGAGGGGTAAATCCTATGCAACGAAGAGGGAAAAAAACTAGTCTGTTATTTAGACTTAAAACGACAACAACCATTGGACCCAGCAGGAGGTAAACATGACAGGTTTCTTAGGACAATAACACATCTAATGTGCTGTTGCTTTCACAGGACAGTGATTCAGAAACCCTCTAACAAGGCAAAGGAAATTAAGGACAATGCTGATGATGCCTGACCATTAAAAGTAATGTTATTTTTATATTTTAAAAAACCCGAAGCACATTTCACTACTATGAGCAGTAGTGCTTATTTTCCTAATACCTGCTGTTATCAGCTGTCTGCGTTTTTCTCTGCATCTTTGGAATGGATAATGTACATGAATGTTTGCTCAATGGTGAAGTCAGGGGGAAGGCTGCCTTTGTGGACACCTATATGCTTGCTCATGAGGTTAAGAGTAGAGCTGTAGTGACCACAAACTGTGCACCGATACATGAGAGCCCCAGAGTGTGTCTTCAAGTGGCACTTGATGGTGGAACGACCACGGAAGAACTTATGGCACACTTTGCACTGATAGGGCTTCTCCCCAGTGTGGATCCGCCGGTGGTAGTTGAATTCACTGGTGTGAGCAAACCTCTTCCCACACACCTTGCAGCTGTATTTACTGTTCCCCGGCTGATTCTGAAGAGTCATGTCCTCACTTAAGAACTCCTCTGGCAGTTTCCTCTTCTGCAGAGGTTGCTGGTGCATTCGGTCACCAAAGCTAGGCCGGACAAGGTCCAAGCTGGAGCTACACTTGTGCTGGCTGACATGGTAGCGGTAAGCAGCTTCCAGCTTGAAGGCCTGGCCACAATAATGACACCGGAAGAGGGCTTCCTCCATGCTTTGGTGGACTGCCATGTGCTTCTCCAGAAGGAGCCTGTCGACAAAACTGTTGGCACAAACAGAACAAGAAAAAACAGAGATTCCCAAGTGAGAGAGCGTGTGCCACATCAGGCTACAGAGATTGAGGTGCCGCTGGTCACACACACCACATGTTTGGCCTTTCAAGTTCACATGGTCCAAGATGTGACCCCGAACCACATGAAAATCTTTGGCCAGCAGTTTCCCACAGACAGCACATGCCAAATCCCCACTGAACAAGTTGACCTTCCCTATCAGTGGGTCACTGGGATGAATGATAACATTGCTATCAAACACCCCTTCTCGGCGGTGGAGACTGAGCTGCCATTGGGTGAAAAACTTGGTTTCGCACATATCACAGGAGAAGAGGAATATCCCAATGTGGGACAGGACATGGGTGACTCTAGAGTTCCTGTCTTGGAAATGGGTCTCACACACTTTGCAGTTGCCAGTCAGAAGGTCGACATGTTCCCTAGCATGCTGGCGAATCAGCTGGATGTTGGGCTCTAAGACTTTCTTGCACACTTGACAAGGCATGGCCTTGTTATCCCGGTTGTCATTCTCAAAAGAGAGCTCTTCCTCACTATCATCGCTCAGTTCAATTACCTCCTCTGCTGCCCCTAGCTCCTCACTGGGGTCTTCAAAATGCAATTCCTCTTCCCCTAAGTCTTCCAATTGGAGCTCATCCATTTGTCCAAAACCCTGGTCTTTGGAGTGGTCACTATTGCTAGGGCAGGAATTGCTGCCTGTGGAAACATCCAGAGAAACATCTGAGGAGAAATAGTTGCCTTTGCCGTAGTCCCCGTTGCTGTGGACTTTGTATTGCTGGCAAGAGTTGACAGTTGTTTGAACAGCCATGTTGGTGCTGCTCAGACTAGCCTGTGTCATAATACTCATGGCACCACTGAATTGTGCTGGCGTTTCTTGTTCTTCAGTTTTGGGAGTCTGTGGATGCAGTATGTTATGACTCGCATCATTTGCAACCTCTTCTTTTTGGCCACCTGCTGCTTCACCATGCAGACTGTTATTTCGCTCTATTCCCAGATGCTCTCCACTGTTTCGGATTTCACCCAGAGCATGGTTTGAATCAGTCAATGCACTACTTGATCGTCTTTCACCTGTGACAGAGGGCTGTTTAGTTGCGGCTGAGTTTTCCAGGTCTGGGAAGGTGGAATGGCAGGCCTTCAATAGTCCATCCATACCCAGTTTTTCAGCCACCTCATAAATAACGCCCACGTTGATCAGATCTGTGAAGAGCTCTGAGGTATAGACAAAGCTCAGAATCTTTTCAAAGTTGGCTGGAGTGATGAAATCCACCACGTAGGTGCGAGCCACGTCCAGTCCTGCATTGAGGAAAAGGTTCTGGAAATAGCCTGCTGCACATGCCAGCACTGCTTTGTGTGCAGGGAAGGAGCGGCTACCCACAACAATGGTCACATCACACATAGTTTCCGACAACCTCCATTTGTTGAGTTCCTTCAGCAGGTTATTGGGGTGGTCCGTGCTGTGCAGCTTGATCCTCATGCCCATTTCGACAGCGGCTAAAGAGCTGCTTTCCTCACTCACTTCTTGCTTACACTTGCACACTCTTCGCCTGCATCAGAAGCATTGGATCTCACTGGGCTCTAGAGAGAAGAAAATAGTTACAGTTATGATTCCAGCTTTTGAATCAAGAAAACAAAAAACGAATGTCTGTGATGACATTGCAAGCTGCTTTGTATAGTTTGTAAATGGAAAGATGAGAGTAAACACAACAGTCGGTAATAAACACATGAATTATATAACAAGAAACAAAGAGGATTTGGATTAAATGCTTTCTGAAAACAAGTGTGGTGGTGGTAATACGTATACAGGAAAGGGACACGTACTACAAATCTGAAACTCTAGGAAGATAAATTCTCACTTATTTTTCAACCAGAGGTGCCCCTTTAGATAGTATTGGCCTATCAATATTCTATCCAGAAGAAGTTCAACTACATCTGAAAAGCCGCAGTCTCGTCCTTAAACAAACACATATTTCTTCTCAGTCATTTTCTATTTATTAATTCTGCAGCTATCTATACCTCAGAGGCAGACTGTTCAGTTACTTTGAATAATTTCAGTGGGGTTGGCAGTTATTATCATTAATATTTAGGGTCTAATGTTATACGTGTTTATTTTTCAGGTGTTTTTTTTTTGTGTCAGGAACAACTTGAGAAACTGCAAGTCGCTTCTTATGTAAGATAATTGGCTGTCTGCATGGATGTTACCCAGGGGATGCCCGGATGTTTTATCATCCTGTGGGTGGCTTCTCTCATGTTCCCACATGAGAAGCTGGAGCTAACAGATGGGAGCTCACCAAACTACCGACCTTTCAGTTAGCAGTCCTGCCAGCACAAGGGTTCAACCCACTGCATCACCAGGGGTTCCCTAATTTTTTTCCTGTCAGCTCTTTCTACTTTCTTGTAAGATGCATATTCTCTGTGAAAACAGGGGGGGGGGGGGGGTTGACGCTCTTCCAACAGATAAGACTAAAATTCTGAAAGCTAAATTGGCAGCAGAAAGAAAAGATCAGGAAACAGAAGTCTTTTCTGCCCCCCTTTTTCCCAATACAACCTGTTGCATCTTTGTTTATTTACTTCCAAGCCACTTTTAATGGATTATGGAGCTGACCAATAGAATTAAGATATGAAGCCATTATTCTTATTTTAAAATAATGTGTGCTGCCTGGTGTTCTGTAAGTAAGGCAGCAGGCAGAATGCAAAGTCAGCACAAATTTAAGGATAGGTAATACGGTCTGACACCACTTTTAACTGCCATGGCTCAGTGCCACGAAATCTTAGCATTTGTGATTTGAGGGCACCACCACCCTTTGGAAGAAAAGGCTAAAAAACTTCTGAAATTGCAGCTTACCATAGCATTGAGCCATGATCATTAAAGTGGTGTCGAACGGCATGAAGTTCATAATGCAGAAGATCTGTAATAACAGTGGCACGCTTACGCCCACCCTGAGGGAGGGAGGAATGGAACTGGGAGCATCTTTTCCCCATTCACAATGAGATGGAAGCCTATTGGAAAATTATGCAACTGCAAAGGAGGCTTCTTCTGCAAGGCCATGGCACAATGGGGATTTTTTTCATAACCAAAAAAAGTTATCCCCCCCCCCCCCACCTTTCCCTGTGGAGGGAAGCATACACCACAGGTTAGCAGTGGTTCTCAACCTGTGGGTCCCCAGATTTTTTGGCCTTCAACTCCCAGAAATCCTGACCACTGGTGAACTGGCTGGGATTTCTGGGGCATGTAGGCCACAACACCTGAGGACCCACAGGTTGAGAACCACTGGGTTAAAGGAATAAGACCACAGCTTTCCAATAATTTCATGTTAGGGTTGGGGCTGGGGTTAGGCATGCATCATTTTGCGGGACAATAACTCAATTTAAGAGCAAACTGGAGGTTGAATCTCCCCTTTGTAAGAGATATGTGGACACATAAACACTGCAGTAAGGAAATGGATGGGGAAACAACATACCTATGCAAATCTTTCACTGATATATATTTAAAAGATGCGCTTTATTGCTAATTTCAGACAGAGCCAAAATGTTTCTCGTTAGGTTTGCACAATACATCTAAATCAGGGAACATAATAATGTACCATGACACAAACACACAGGATCTGATCCCAGATTATTTGCTTATCAGACAATCTGGCAGTGGAGACTCATATAATCCAGTTCAAAGTAGATAATCTGGGATCGGAGGCTGTGTTGACCCAGCCAGTTTGGAAACCTCTGGCCTAGATTCTGACCCAAGGTTGGATCTACACTTCTRTATAATGCAGTCTGAATTGCATTGTATGGCCAGTGTTGTAGATCCATATCATGCATTTATATGGGTCTACAMCAGGCCTGGGCAAACTCTGGCCCTCCAGGTGTTTTGGACTCCAACTCCCACCATTCCGGCTGTTAGGAATGGTGGGAGTTGAAGTCCAAAACACCTGGAGGGCCAGAGTTCGCCCAGGCCTGGTGACCCTATAATGAAGTTCACGCTGTAGACAAAAGTGATGGCACTGTTTTGAGGGGGAGGAGCTGGAAGTGAGAGGAAACAAAAGGAGAGAGGGGGAGCTTCTCCAGAAGTAACACGGATAGGGTAGAGTAAGGAGAAGAGCAGTCTTCTGACTCTTCTCTAGGCTCTGCTGCTTCGAATGGGACATGAATGGGAGGAGGTGGAAGCGAGAGGCAACCATGGGAGGGGCAGCATCCCCAGAAGTAGCAGCCTCCCCACCCCAAAGAAAGGCAAACTTTCGGGGGAAGRAGCCTCCAAGTACCTGCATGTCTCAGGCAAGGGCCGGCGGCAGAGGATGGGAAGAAAGGGAAGAGAGGAAGTCCAGGAGGAAGAGGGGAAAGTGGAGGGAAGGAGGAGGAAGGAAGGAAGGCGTGCTGGCAGGAGGAGGGGGGGGGGGAGAGAGGGAAGGAAGGGGCCCTTCCTTACCCGGGAGGCGGCGGGCCGGGCACATTCCCCTTCGCGGACACAAAGGCCTCCCTCCCCGGCCTCTTTCCCTCCCTCCCTCCCTCCTTCTCTCTCTCTCTCTCTCTCTCTCTCTCTCTCTCCCGGCCAGACCTCAAGGGGGAGGCGCGGCGGCTCCGACCCCGGCCAAGAGGCTCCATCCGCCCCGAGACGCCCGGGCCCAGCGCCGCCCCCAGCCCCGGAGGGGGCACTGCAGCCAGGCCGGCGCCCACCGCCCGCCCTTCTCTCTTCCTTCCCTCCTTCGGGGGGTTCCGCGCCCCCGGCCCGGACGGGCGAAAAGAGGGAGGGCACGTGGAGGGGCCAAGGCAGCAGGCTGCACAGAAAGGGCCCGGGCTGTCTCGCCAAAGGGACGTTGCCTCTGGCCCCATCTACACCGCCATGGAATGAATGAATGAATGGATGGATGCCCTTGGAAACTGCATTGCATGGTTATGGCGGTGTAGATGGGGCTGGAGCTGGTATGGGCAAACCTAGGCCCGGAGTCAGGGCTGTTTTCCAGGCCCTCCTCTCTCTCTCTCACCATCCTATCCTTCCTTCCTTCTCTCTTTCCTTCCTCCTTCCCTCCCTCTTTCTCCCTCCCTTCCACCCTTTCGTCTTCCCTTCTTTCTCTCTTTCCTTCCTTCCATCCTTCCCTTCTTTTCTCCCTTTCATCTTTCCTGCCTTCTCTTTCCTTCCTTCTTGCCGCCCTCTTTCTCCTTCCCTTCCACACTTTCATCTTTCCTTCCTTCTCTCTTTCCTTCCTCCCTACTTCGCTCCTTTCCGTCCCTCTTTCTACTTCCTTGCATCCTCCCTTCTTTCTTCCTTCTTTCCTTCCTTCCTCCCACTTTCTCCTTCCTCCATTCCCTTTTGTCTTTCTTTCCTTCTCTTTTTCCTTTATCCTTTGCTGCCTTCCTTCCATCCTTCTCTTCATCCCTTTCTTCTTTCCTTCCCATTTTCAATCATCCCTTTCTTCCATCCTTCCCTTCCACCCTTTCGTCCTTCTTTCCTTCCCTTTTGTCTTTCCTTCCTCCCTACCTCCCTTCCCACCCTCTTTCTCCTTCCTTCCCTCTTTCCTCTCTCCCTCCCTCTTTTTCTTTCCTTCCCCTTTGTCTTTCTTCCTTCTCTCTTTCCTTCCTCCCTACCCCCTTCCCTCCCTCTTTCACCTTCCTTTCTTCTTCCCTCTTTCCTCCCTCTTTTTCCTTCCTTCCCTTTTGTCTTTCTTTCCTTCTCTCTTCCCTTCCTTCCTTCCATCCTTCCCTTCCACCGTTTCATCCTTCCTTCCCTTTTGTCTTTCCTTCCCTCCCTCTTTCCTCCATCCTTCCCTTCCTCCCTTTCCTTCCTCCTTCCCTTCCTTCCTTTCATCACCAGGCAGTCAGTCCTCCTAGCAGGGAATGCAGGCATGTAGTCCCCAAGTTAGAAAGTTTGCCCATGCCTGGGCTAGAGGCCATCTCCCTCTGAGACTGATGAAGGGGCATCCGCACTATAGAAGGGATACCCGCTAACAACTATTTAGCTGGATCTGTGCTGCTATATAATCCAGTGTCTGGAAACAGGTTATCTGCTTTGAACATGATTGTGAGAGGCTCCTTCCTTTTCCCTTTACCTTTTCCCTTTCCCACTCTAGATGCTGAGGGGGAAAGGGAAGGGGCTGAGGCTGTTAGGAATTGTAGGAGTTGAAATCAAAAACACCTGGAGGGCTAAAGTTTACCCATGCCTGGCTACAGCCAACCTTAAAAACTGTGGCATAGGCATCGAGAACTGGGAAGCCCTGGTCCTTGAGCGTCCTAACTGGAGGTCAGCCGTGCCAAACAGTGCTGTGGAAAATCAAAGAGACACGAATGGAGAATGAGAGGGAGAAAGAAGTTGCATCAAGCCAACCATGACCAAGATCACCTTCCATCTGGAAACTGATGTCCTCACTGCGGAAGAATACGCAGGTCAAGAATAGGCCCCCACAGTCATCTGCAGACCCACTGCCAAAACTACTCTTGGAAGGCCATCCTACTTGGACACGAGTGATTGCCAATGATGATGATGAGTCTACACTGCCATATAGTCCAAAGCAGATCATTTGGATTCAGAAACTAGATTATATGGCAATGTTGATGGGACCTTTAACTGCCATGATTCAATGTTATGCAATCCTGGGAATTCTCATCATAGGGTATTAGATATGGCTGAGTGTCATCTTCCAGAAGTAGAGTCTTTGGCGGTGGGTCCGTAAATTACTGTAGAAACCTATTCTGGATCCACATTGTTCTTTCACATTGAGGCTCCCCAGTTCTCAGTGATGATGCCACAGTTTTTAAGATTGAATTTAAGCCCATCTTTAAATCTCTTAGATTAAATCAAGTAACTTCTTTGGGAGAAGGTGATCGGGCATTTGGACAATGTGGCCAGTCCAGCAAAGTTGATGCCGGAGGATTGTCGCTTCAGTGCTGGTGGTCTTTGCTTCTTCCAGAATGCTGATGTTTATCCACCTGTCTTTCCAAGAGATTTGCAGGATTTTTTGGAGGCACCGCTGATGGAATCGTTCCAGAAGTTGAGACTCATATTTGTAGACGGTCCACATTTTACAGGTTACAACAGAGTTCGAAGGACAATAGCTTTATAAACAAGTATCTTGGTATCCCTACCAGTGTCCCAATCCTCAACACTCTCTGCTTTATGACAGCTCCTATAGCTCCATAGCCCAAAGTTAAGACACTTCAAGTAGTGTTAGACTACATTAATTCTGCATAGTTGATGCACCCTGAGAGACTACGGCCAGCTAAGGGCATGCAGTAGGTTTCCCTGGCCAAGCAGGAGTTCAAAGCCTTGTCTCCTGTGGGATGTGCTGGGTTCTCTCTGCATTCATTGTATACAGTGTTTTCTCTTACCATGCAGAATGAATGCAGTTTGACACCCTTTGACCTGCCATAGCTCAATGTTATAGAATCAGGAAACCTGTGGTTTTGTGAGGCTTCACAATTATTTGTTGGATGAGGCCGAAGACCTTGTAAAACTATACCCCGTGTGTTTCTACTTCATTTTTTTATTCATGAAATTGCCATGTCTAGAAGCCCTGGACCTTGAGCGCTCCAGCTTGAGGTCAGCTGTGACCAGCAGGGCTGTGGAATTTGAAGAGGCGTGAATGGAGGGTGAAAGAGAGAAATGTTCCAAGAGGAAGGCGCGTCAAGCCGACCGAGACTGAGACCGCCTTCCACCTGGAAACCGATGTCCTCGCTGCGGGAGAAGATGCAGATCAAGAATAGGGCTCCACAGTCACCTACGGGCCCACCAGAACACTGATCCTGGAAGACTATCCTACTCGGCCAACGAGGGATCGCCTAAGATGATGTTAACTACAGTTGGTTATTACCACAGTTGGTAATAGTGCACATGCTTAAATGTCTGCAATTGAAAAGAAATGGGAGGACCAGCTCCTGGGAAAAAGAACTTGAACTCCTGCATACCAGATAAGCATAAATGAGAGCTACCATCTGTTATTAAGGACCCATTACAAATGGCACTAAAAGTGTATTACTGTGGAAGAATTCTCTCATGCAGGAGTTGATCCCTAGGGTTACAATTTGAGATCTAGGGCATTCTCCGGCAAGATTCATTCATTCCACTGGTGTGTATGCATGGGTCTTGGGGAGTGTTTGTGCCAGAAAAAGTGGAAGGGACTTTGGAGAGAGAAGAGGTTGATTGCTCTCATGTCTCTTACCAACCATTGGTTGCCTCACCTCTGTGGTTTTGCAAGGACACATCCCCTGGCCTCTGGATTTCAGCTTTGAAATTCAGGAAATGAACTGTTGTTGACATGCCATTTTTCTATGTCCTACTACTCTCACAGGTATATCCAGTGCAAACACAAAAGAGAGCTTCCTGTGGCTACTCCCAAGCTTTCAAATGCCCTCTGAGAGAGGTTGAATGATACCTTTCTTGTAGTCAGGTTAAGTTTTTTTTAATGTATTAGTCGTTTTTAATAATTATTTGTTTAACATGTGGGCATAGGTTTGTCACCACAGGTGGCATACGTATAAGGAAAATTTTGTCCAACAGCTGGAAAGAAGGCCAGTGTTCCTGGCTGCATGATAGATGCATTACTGAGTGCTAGATAGCTTGTTGTTATTGCTGTATTCCTTCAAGTCAACTCCATCCTATGTATATAGCATGGTAAGCAGTCTGGTTCCATATAGGAATGCTTCTATCATTGGTCTAAACAGCCAGGCATGACTTTTGTTACAGGGCCTGCACTTTTCTGCTGGGCCCCTATTTTCTAGTCTGTGTTCCTTGCTGCTTGCTTCTGCCTCAGCTATCACCCAGCTGCAGTACAAAACAAAATTCGCAAGATGGCAGTCCCTCCCCATCCAGACAACTTCTTGCCTTCTTATTGTGGCAGAAGAGCACCACCTATGAATCTATACCTGCAAAGGTATCTAAGTACTGCATAAAGTCATTCCAAAGTCTGTCCTTGAAGATTTCACCCCAGGCCTGCAGAAGATCCAGGGTTTAGTGCAGAGCGTCTCTAAGCAGGACTAGATATGGCATCCAAGTAAACATATCTCAGTTCTTGGAGAGTTCCTGCTTGTCAGAAGACAGAAGAGTCAGTTTGATAAATAAATAGCCTGACTCATTTTCCAAAAGGCAACTATCTCTGTTCATTCTTGTTGCATATCAGAATATCAAACAAGGAATCTAGTGCTCTGAGCCTGGTGTAGGCTACCTACCTGACGGAGATGTGTAGATAGATAGTATTTTGTTCAGCCTTGAAGAATATATTGCTAGTTCACTAGTCCTAATCTTGGCATTTTCTACTACCAACTTGGGGGACCCTTGTCCTAAGAGTGTTTATTCTTCTCAATAGACATCCATAGGACAGGGGTGCTGTTAATCCTCACTTCATTAGTCATGAAGCGTGTGTAACAGAAGTGTCACTCTGTTTCACTGGCGATGTTCCAGACACCGGTAAGGGTGGCTAGTGGCTACATAAAGATAATAGACTGCAGACCAGCTGTAAAGCAGTACCATTCTGTGTCTACTGGAAGAATGAAAGCATGTAGTTGCTAGTATATCTGAAATGAAATACCTTGATCCAGATTGAGCATCCAGAATTCCAAATCCAAAGCTGTCCACATGGGTGTCTGAGATAATGAAAACTTTATTTTTTGATGGTTCAAAATGCACAAATTTGGTTTCATGCACAATTATTAAAATAATATTGTGTATAAAATTACCTTTAAATTATGTATGTGGTGCATATATATGACACATCAGTGAATTTCATGTGGGTTCCATCTCCAAGATACCTCACTATGTACTTGCAATGTATGCAAATACAGGTATTCTAAATCTGAAAAAAAAACCCACAAACTTCTGGTCCCAATTATTTTGGATAAGGGATACTCAGCCTGTATCTGTGTGTGTTCCATCGTCTGGAAATGCTCATTTTCATACTCTATGCATACATAAATGATTCAGAGAATTGTCGTTCGGAAAAGTGATTTTTTTCCAAGTTCTGATCAGATGGAAACTTAAATCGTAAGCAAAAGCAGTGAATTGTACAAGCCACTAGATGTTGATGAACTGCAAAACTTAGCATTCTTCGATATTTTCTACGGCTGCTAGCACTCCCATCATTTAGAAGACTGGATTATTCCTATGACTGGGCTAAAGAGCATATATTTAGACATCCTTTAACAACACAAGTTACATCTTAATTTTAGGAACCCTTCTGAATATTCTCTTCTTTTGCTTTAAAACTTTAAAACACATTGGAGTTGGATTATCCTTTGAAGCTCTTTGTAAAAATATGCCTTTCCAAGAACTGTTTTTGAAAAATATTTCTGCTGGATGCTGCATTTACTTTAGTTACCAAGTTACTGTCCAGAACTGTCTGGCATGATATAATCTGTGGAGTTTGTTTCTTTTTTCAGTTCAAAGTGCCAGTTTTAACCCTCAATGCCATCAGTTGCTGAACTGACGTCAACCCACTATTCTGCTATAGTCAGTTTAACGTAAATAATGGATACGCACTGCATTCCACAATCAGATTTCCACGGGTCCCTGTAACGCCACCTTGTGCACTACTCCCTATTCAGCATACGTTGAAGTTCATTTAATTTTTTTGTTTTTTATTTTTAATGTAATTGCACAATTTTAGAATTAAAAACAAAAGGGCAAAGATAAAATAGGAGGAATGTGCCTAACTTGGGAATAGCAAGGAGGGGGGGAGGAAGAAATCCTGCCCTCTGATGTAATTTTGTTGGTGAAACAGAAGGGACGTATCACACTAAACTAGGTGATGGATACATTGAGGATAGTGAGCTACTGACAGGTTTTATCTATCGAAAGCTAGGTATGGGAAAATCTCAAGAGGAGCCAAAGAGTCATTGCAATTCTGTTTTGCCTGCCTTGTGTGATAAAGTTCCAAGTTTTTTTAGAGATTGCTTTCTGTTTTTATTACTGCTAAAGCTCAGTTCAGTGTCTGAGACAAGATCAAACTTCTCTCCCAAAGGAAACAGGTGACTCAGGACTAGACTTTTTAGGAGCCCTGCAGCCAAACCAGTATTTTAGCCTAAATTCAGTCAGAGGAGAGAGAGAGAGAGAAAAAAAAAACAGTTTTCTGATATTAATAATTCTTAATAATTAAAAAGGAAATAGTAGGAGGATTGTGCTGCTATTAGTTGCTATAACAATCTATTTATGGTATTTTAATAATAAATATGAACATCTGCCATTTGTTTTCACTGCTTTTCTGAGGACATCCCACAGCCTTTTTGTGTTGTTCTGGTTCTGTAGCATTTTGTGAGACTTGTTTTCTCTCCCACACAGAAATTCTGGCACATTTTTATATGCATTTTTCAAATTGAACATATTGTCGTAGGCTTTCTCTAGTACATGCCATCCTTATATTTCATTCATCACGTATGGTATTTCCCTAAAACAAACTTTCATGAATGATTACTAGAACCAGGTCTCTTATCAGTGTTTTGGAGCACTCACCCAAGGAGATTTGCCCAATCCCCAACAATATATGTCTTTGTAAGAAAGGCTTTGAATGTAACTGATTCAGATCAAGTTAGGTGCCTAAATGCTCTTTGCTTGTTCTACTACTACTACTTCTTTAAAACTTACTCTTGTAAAAATTTCTACTTATTATTCCTATTTTACCTCTGTGATAATTCTATATATATTAGTGTCTTTCTTTTTAAAAAAATATTTCATATTTTTAACATTTTGAGTTGCATTTAAAACGTAAAATGATAAGTGTTAAATATAAAAAGAGAAGTAAATTGGCAAATCACCTGTATTCTAGCTAATGTGAAGAGATCAGGCAGGTGACATGAAGTAGCCAAACTTGCTACCATGCTGCTGAAATTCAACAGTAACATGGCAACCCTCTCACATCATTTTAGCAAAAACTTTACTTTAAAAGTAGGTGGGTGTGGTGCATGGACCTTTGTTTCAATGCCTCTTGAAACTATGTGGCTTCAAGTACACCTGTTGATTTGTAGTCATTCCATGGATTTCATAGTTTTCTTAGACCAGGAATACTTGGAAATGATTTGAACCCATTACTCAGAGTCCTAGACTCCAGAACAGCAGAAAATAAGCCTGCTCCCTCTTCCTTATGACATCCTTAAACATAGCTATCATGTCTCCTCAACCTTTTCTTCTACATGCTAAATATTCCCAGCTCTTTAAGCCACTCCTCATAGGGCACAGTCTCCAGACTTCAAATCATTTTAGTCGCCCTCCTCTGGACATTTTCCAGCTTGTCAATTTCTCTTTTAAACTGTGGTGCCCAGAATTGGGCACAGTATTTCAGGTGAGATCTAATCAAAACAGAATAGAGAGACACCATGACTTCCCTCGATCTAGACACTATGCTCCTTTCAATACAGCCCAAAATCCCATTGGCTTTTTTAGCTGCTGCAACACTTTGTTGGCTCATGTTCAACTTGCGGTCTGCTAAGACTCCAAGATCTCTTACATGTACTGTTGTCAGATCAAATGTCACCCATCCTCTCTCTTTGCATTTCTCTTTTTTCTGCCTAAGTGTTGCAACCTACATTTCGCCTGTATGAAATTCATTTTGTTTGTTTGGGCCCAGCTCTCTAACCTATTAAGGTCATTTTGAATTCTGATCCTGTCTTCTGGAGTATTCGTTATCCCTCCCACAGATTAGAATCGGGCAGCTGTGCCTAAAATGTGAAATATCAAATGAAGAACAAGGGACACACAGTGGCAGGTCATAAGGAAAAACCCTGTTATTGTATAACATATTGAGGTGTTCTGAATCTGTGACATAGAAGGGTAGGCAAGTGTGGCCATTTTGCTTGAGGCATGGGAGAGTAATCTACAGATTTGTCACACATGGATACAGGGGCAAAGCACCATGAAGGGAGTGAGAATGATGCTTCTCAACATTTCCAAACAAAGAACACTAGAGATTACAAAGAGGAACAGGCTGGAATAAAGGTCAGAGTCAAGGAGAAAGGGCATGGGAGCTGGAGCACAGGACAAGGTGAGGTCTCCATGGCACATCCAAGGGTTTGATCGAGAGTATGTTGGGCTTTGGTGGATGGCGTCTGCTTGGTGTTGATATCTTGAGGTCCTGCAGACATGAGGATTGTCCCTCATCCTTGCATGGCACCTTTATGAAAGAGATCAGGAGAAACCAATGTTGAGCACACTATGCACTGTTGTTTACTTTCTTTTTTTAAAAAATGTTTCAATACAGCTAGTACTCCACAACACCTGTGACAACATGACAAACAAACACATGAAGCAGCACAATCTCTTCCTCCACTCCACACAAATACACATTAACATATGACTGTCCACCCCTAAGGCTAAGAACCTTAGTGCAAATAGTAGTCACTCTCTTATTTGTGCCTGGTATATATACACATCATCTTGCTATTTTTTCTTTGAAGAGTTCAGTATTCGAAAATTCCAAGTATAATATTTTCATCCTTTTAAAATATACGTTCAAATCATACTCAGTTATTTACAAATGTATCTACTGACATCTCTTTAATTATGTTTTTCAGCTGCAGAACCCTTTTCGAAGTGAAGGTTTCTCATGGAGCCCTAAGAAATATTTATGTTTATATCAATATATTATATTATATATAATCTATATAGACCAGGCATGGGCAAACTTTCTGACCAACATAAACTTAAGAGTATTTCAGTGGAAGACCTTAGGGGCCACCCAGTCCAACCCTCTTTTGCCATGCAGGAAAAACAATAATATAATCCCCTGAGCAGTGGAAGGGAAATAGGGTTTTGGAAGCAAGCCAGGCGAGGGAGGAAGGATCTGGGTGATGAGGAAGTGAGGACAAATGCTTTTGGTGGCAAGGGAGGCATGGTGAGGGGGAGAAGAAGGAAAGAGGAGGGAAAGCTTGGAGGAAGAAGGGGAAAGCACGGAGCCCCTCAGTATGCTTTATGGAACCCCAAGGGCTCCGCAGAGCACACTTTGAGAACCACGGCCCTACCCAATACAGCTTTGGCAATACTGTTGGGAAGATAGTGGGGCTTTTAGTACAAAAGGCAACTTGTGTACTCTTCCAAGCTTTGTGCCAGCATAAGCATTTTTATATCTTTTTTAATATCTTTTTTTTCCTGTGGGGATGTACATGTTTTTGGTAGTTGTGTGCACACATCAAACCAATAAACTAATATTATAAAATGCAGACATCTCTCCCCCACACAACACACACACACATTCATAGAGAGAATGTTTCACTTGTTTCATAATCCATGCCAATTCCAGGGTAACAGGTGTCTGTAGGCAGGGACATAAAAGGTGCCAGCATGGGAAGCCCATTTGCCTTTTTCACAAATCATCCAGATTCTCTTTAAATATGCTGCTAAATGGTTCTTTCTGACCCTGAACAGAAATGAAATTTGAATACTGTGTAGCTTGGGTTTCATGCTTTGTTTGATTTTGAACTGCAAGCTGGCTACCACTGAGTATAAATTTTTAAAACAAAATTATTATACCAATGATGCAGGCCAGAGAATCCTTTTCCAAATTGTATCTTTTGCACAGTCTTTTTAGTGAATGGCTTATCACTGAATCCCCTGCCATGGGCGTAAAATGAAGTTGGACATTATCTTCCAACTTTGATTCCATTCTAAATATTATGTTTTCAGTCTCACAAGTACTACTGTATAAACAATGCCAACGACATGCAACTATGTGCATATGATATTCGAGTGGATACATAGAATAAGAGCAATTGAAGAACAAAAGTGTGTCTTGGGAGTATCCTTTCAGTTAAAGCGTATCTCTACAGCAACACAGCCAGTGCAGAAAGAAACTTTACACTGACCATAGAATTGCACTGGAGGACCTAGAGATTGCTAGGGAGGTGTCCCCTAAGAATCTCCAGGTCCTCTAGCCAGACTGGATGAACGGGATCATGGAATCACACTGCAGGTTCTAGATTTTCTAAGAATGTTTTAAATCAAATAAGTGAATAATCAAACACATAATTGTCAAAACCAAAAATGTGGAAGGAAAACTCTATTCTTTACTTCAGGGAGGGGACGTATGTGGTTCTCCGTGTGTTTTGGAACTTAAAACTTCAATCAGCCATAGCCAGCAATGATGAAAGAAGTTGTGATTGAACAAAACATTTTGCTGCATTCCCCATTTTATCTCTGAGAGAAAACACTCTTCCAGAGTTCCAAGTACTGCTGTCCTTTCATCTGAAGGACTGAAATCACCAAATAATGAATTTATAACAATTGGGTGACTATTGTGTAATCACATACAGCTACTAGGTGCTTAGAGTTCAGACTTGACAAAAAGGGAGTGAAGTGCCTTTTCACTGCATTTATGGGAAATAAATATGCATCTGAAGACCATCTACATGAGTTAAGCTGGCCATTACTAATTTAATCTAGATATCCAGAGTCTTTCCAGATGGCTGAAAAGTGAATTTTATGGTCAACCTATAGACCCCACCTAAGGAATGGGTTTCTAATACTTTCTCATAAAAAACAGAATAGCATCACCCTAGAACTATTCACTATTTATATAAGTGAGAAGCATGTTATGGTCTGATTTAGACTACAAAAGTCTATGAAAGCTTCTAGTACCACCTTCATTGTCTCAGTCTCCAGGATCTCTTTGCATATTGTTATTTGCAATTAACATGGCAATGTCTCTGAATTCTAGCACATTACAATGACGACCAGAGTAGGAAAGGACAATGACAATGCTGGATGGATTATGGATTTATGAATAGGCGAGCACTGACCACAAGATGATTTTATTGCTGTTATTGTATTGATTTGATAGTTTTAACTAGTAATAACTGTTGACCGTAAACTGTAAATTGTAATTTGTATATTGTATTTTGTGAATTGTTGGGCATCAAATTGTGCCTTTTGTAAGCCGCCCTGAGTCCCCCCTAGGGGGTTGAGAAGGGCGGTGTAGAAGCACTCCAAATAAAAATAAATAAATAAACTAAAATGGCATACAGGCAGGATTTCCAGAAATAATCTCACACTTCATCCAATGTTGCTTGGATTGATGTCCTAGAAAAGCTACCAAGGTAACCAATTCTAGTTATTTTTAAAGTCATATATGTCTCCCAATTTCTTTTTTTAAAATCATCCTGTAAAGCCAAACATTAAAAGTGGCCTTACCCCTATCTTTAGATACAAAAATAACCATCCCCCACATCTAAATATTTTCAGGTTCATGACTTTTGCTCCCGCTCTGCAGAATGTATGACCCTAGTCTCTGTAAATTCCTTGTAGATTGATAAGAGATTTATTGCATGGATTACATGTACTTGACTGCTGCTGGGAATATTTAAGGTTCAGCACAGCCCCAGTCTTTTCAGAGAGAACACAGTTTGTATGTGATATACATTTGACTTTGGCAGTGTTTACGTTTGGCACTTCGTAGTGTGCTTATGCATAGAGAAACATGTATGAAGAAATTTATATATGGGTGAAGTATGTTGGAGAACCTTTTAAAAAGAAACATAATTAGGAAACCACCCTACTCCCCTTACCTCATTCTGCAGTTTTTGAATACTTTATGTTTCCAAAATCTGTGAGCTTTCCCTTGTTGTCTTCTATGGGTTGATCTAAAATCAGAGGGCAAAGGCAGTTGAATTCTAACAGAAACATTCCTGCTCTCTATGGCAGAGTGGATTTCCCCTTACATCTGTTCATTTTTCTATAGCTCATGTGTCCTTACCTATTTTTCCAACTACTAGAAATATTTAACATGACAGATTATTTCCCACATGACAGATTCTCCTTCTTTCTTTCTCCAGATATGTTATGATAACTGCCAATTGCATTTCCAGTTGTAACAGTCATAATAGCTGCAAATGGCAAAGTACTGAGAGATTTCTAGATGATCTTCGATACATTGGCAAGAGTTTCTGACTACCAACTGTTAACAATAGTCAACAACAAAATTATTTTTTTAAAAAACATGAATTATATATCGGAGCCAAAGAAAACTTCTTGTTATAAGGCAAAGACTCTTCTGAAAAGGCAATGAGCTCCATTCAATTCTGGTATACTTCTATGGCTGAAAACAAATCCCTCAAATTATATTTAGACCGTCCTTCTTTAATTCCAAATAAATGTCTCTTGCACCCAGTTCAGATTGAGTATTTTGTAGTCCTCATAAGCCAAAGATCCTGGATATGTCTTAGTTATGGTACCATTCTCCTGTTGTTAAATTATCAAATAATTGGGAAGCCACATAAGGAAAGCTAAAGGAACTAGTATGCTTTTTCTGAGAATGAATGCATAGACAAATGGAAATAAATTCATAAGAAAAACAGGGTGTGAGAACAAGACACAGACAAATTCAGTTTCTGCATTTCCATTGGTCCAGGGATGGGATGCCACAACAAAATGTGGCAGAAAGCCTAGCTCCACTCTTGACCACAATGAGTATGATAACAAGTATTCCATCCTTCCTGATTCTTTTCTCAGGCTCCCTAACCTGGGTGAAATGCCATGCTTTCCTTTCTTTGCTCTTATAGGGGTCTGCATCCATACATACTGGCAATCGGATCCAACACAAAATTAATCTTGAATGTTAACTGTCAACCACCTTGAGCATTGCTTCTTATACTGTCCCGAACACAAATGGTTCGATGTTGCGGTTGTGAAAAAAATGGCAATTGTAAAAGATTTTTGAACACCACAAAATGGCTGTTCTAGACATTTGCATAAACTGGTTAGCAACAATGTGTCATGTTTATAGTGGACTCTGTAGAAAATGCTTCGGCTGTGCTTCATAAAAAGGAAAACTGCCTATTTAGCAAACCTTGCAAATGCTGATTTAACATGGTAAATATTTTGTTTTTATGCCTATTTCATATATCTATATACCGGGAAGTGCATAAAAAATTTCTTGGGCAGAAAGAGATCACAAGTAGAAAACATCTAAGAAGCCCTGGTGTAGACCACCAACTAAGTGATCATATTTCAGGTTATCCTACCTAAGAACAGGTTTGTTCTTGAGGAGGGAGGGAGGGAGAGGGCGTGGGATTTGCTTTAAAACAACAACTAAGGAAACCAAGATGTTCAGGAAGTTTCTAGTACTATACATTGATTTCTCTCCTTCCACAGAGCCACATACTTGGAGCATACACAAATTTTTCATCCCACATAAGCAATCAGAAATAAAGAACACCTGTTTCTTTTTGCCGTTCTAAGATATTGATGAGAATCTCTCACAGAATATCAGAGATGGGAGAACTATATTTGCTTTCACAACACAATCCCCAACAGACCTACCAGGCTCTGTAGTCCGTTTCCCCATGAGTCCAACAAAGAAGTCGTGCATGTCTCCTACAAACAGAAAAAAACTGTTACATTAAAGTAATTCCACAGGGAAACACAGACATAAACAATGGCCTACTTTTAATTAATGCCTTCTTAGCCATCCGTGTTGGTGGTTACATGTCTTCCTCAAATGTGTTAACTATTGAGAAAGCCTACCAAAAAGTCTCAATATATAAATCCTGCTAGAAAATCTCTTTTTTTCTTTACAAAAATGCAGTAGCCCTAGAGTCCCTAATAACAAATCATATTCAGTGAGAACAAAATGTCTCAGATACACTGCTGGATGTCCCATTTTTTGGCTCTATCTGAGCAGCACAGTCCTCATGAGTCCTTAGCCGTCTACTGCCTCATTTTTGCATTTGGAAATAAAGCTGAGAAATCCAAGGGTAGTCGTGCCCACAAGCATTTTTCACAAGATTTTGGCAGTTTTCTTTTCCTATTTTATTTGGCAAGTTTTAACTTTCTAAATCTTCATCTTTTCCATGTTTTTTACTTAGTCTGTTCTGTAGTATATCAGCCTGTCTGCTAAGGGAGGATTTACTAACACAGGCCACATCTACACTGCCATATAATACAATTCAATGCAGTTAAGCTGCATTCTGAAACCACATAATATTGCAGTTCAGGTGTGACTTCTATGAAGTGTTTTAAATGATTATGTGTTTTGATTATGTATTTTAGCAACAATGAGGAGAGGTGGGTATGAAATAAGATTATTGGTCATACAGCCCGAAAACTCATATCAACCCAGTGATTACGGCCATGAAAGCCTTCAACAACACAAATAAAATTATTATTATTATTATTATTATTATTATTATTATTATTATTATTATTATTATTATTAAAAAATAGCAGATGCAGAAACAATTGATTCTGGAGTATGGCGTTTACCATTCCAAATACGTTTCTTTAAATAATACCTAATCTCACCACCATCTTATACAGGTTGAGCGTTCCTTATCCAGAATTCCAAAATCTAAAATACTGCAAAATCCAAAAGTGTCCACATGTGTGGCTGCGATAGTAACACCTTTGACTTCTGATGGTTTAATATATACAAATTTTGATTCATGCATAAAAGTATTACCAATATTACATATAAAATTATGTATGTATATGCAAATATGGATATTCCAAAATCCCTCCCCCCCCCCCTCCCCAAAATCCAAAAACAAAAAATTCTGATCCCAAACATTTTGGATAAGGAGAACTCAACCTGTATTGTCTTTCTGGAAAAAGTGAAACAATTTGGATGGAGAAGTAGTCACTATAATATAATAATCTGATAACCTTGAAAGATCAACATCACTCTGAAGTTATAAACCTCTAACTCTCCTGAGACTGTCAGACTCTCATTTCCCATTAGTCCAAACCAGAATGAAAGGGGGTAATGAGAGTTCATATCCAGAAACATTTGTACAGTTTTTTGCCCTTCCTTTAGAGCAGACATGGGCAAACTTTGGCCCTCCTGGAGTTTTGGACTTCAGCTCCCACAATTCCCAACAGCCTACCAGCCGTTAGGAATTGTGGGAGTTGAAGTCCAAAATACCTGGAGGGCCAAAGTTTACCCATGCCTGCTTTAGAGCATAGAGAGCATATACATAAATACAAAAATCCTTATAACAATCCTTTTAGTAGGCCAATATTCTGTGGAAGTATGGATAAGGCAGGGGAAGGGCTAAAGATAAGAAACAGTAAATTTTTGGAGTGAGATCATGGCAGGTGGAAATGGAAATGGGGCCGATACTTTAGTCCACATCTTTTCCACTATCTTCCACTAATTTCCATACAGAGACATCCTGTAAATGATCACTCTATGTTCAACTGGAGTATAACACAGATTCTTCAGATCATCTTCATGAGCATTATTTTGCCCCCTTTAAGACAGATGACTGAGTTGCCTTGCTCTACAGGGCAAGTGTCCGCAGAGACAAAGCATAACAAATGTTTACTCAGTTCATACAGGTCGGTAATTTTACCATGCAACTATATACATAATCCTACATGTTTCAGGCCCACTGATTCTGGGTTGGTGCCCTCCAGATGTTCTGTTTACTACTCCCTTGGTACATGCTGGCCTGATTTCTGGGATGCCATACAAAACATCTGGAAAGTTAGAGGCTCCCAACTTTGCTCTTACTCCATCAGCACATTATAGCAAGGACAGAAAAGAACAACTTCTGCTCCTACTCCTCCCACTAGATCATCCTTGCATGGTGTCCCCTGTCTATCCTAACCACATAGCATCCTAATTCTCATGCCTGTCACCCCTGCAGCTGCTTCCATCACTCTTACTGAAGTGCCATTGGGAATCTTCCTGGTTCCGTGAAATTACTGACCCAAAGAGACCACCGCTGTAAATGCCAAATGCTATAAGAGAGAACTGGAACACAGAATCCCCAGAGAAAAGATATGGGTGGCTGGAGATGGTGGCACAGAATTCAGTTTTATGAGGAAAAACGGAAAGTTTAAGCAAGCCAACCCATAACTTTAAAACAGCAGTCTTTCCAAAGATTGACTTGATTGCATTCACTAGCTAACTGCAAATAAGCCTCACCTCCATGGCAACTTGTGAATTCTCTCTGGAGTTTATTCCATTTGAAAGAACTCTTCAAGGGGCTCACACTATTTTGGATAGTATTTTGGATACCTTAATTGAAGTGTGGACAAAAAAAGGACAAGATGCAGAATCCCACTGTAATGAAACCCACCAGTCCCCCTGGCCTTTCTGCAATGACTTGGTTGCTTTCCATCAAGATGTGATTTCAGAGAGAGCAATGAATGTAATAGAGCACTACTGGTGTCCTGACTTACGTTTCTGGGAAGAGGCAAGTGCCTGGGGAGCTGAAAAAGAAAGAAAAGTACTGGTGAGATTCAAGGTCAGACTTGGTCGCTAAGGGACATGGCAAGAAGAAGCTGAAATTTGCATGCAGGGACTGGATGACATTACTGAGGAAAGACTTAGGAAGCAAAAGAAAAATAGGAAATGAAGACATGGGCTTGAGAAAGGGCTGAAACTGCAAGCAGTGCAGAAGAAAGAAATAGTGTGTAAATGTGTGCATAGTGTACAATATTTTAAAATGATTTTATTGTAAGTTGTCGTTTTTATGGTATTTATGTTGTTAGCATCCTCTGAAGCTCATGTGAGGCAGCACTGAGTCTCCCTTGTGGGGAGAAGGGTGGGATATAAATATATGAAATAAATAAATAAATAAATAAATAATGGGGTGGGTTTTTGTGATTTTTATGTATTTGTGCATATGTCTATGTATGGGGGAATGCTGAGCTTCTTCCTGAATTTAAATATAAACAAAGCAAACTAAGCTGCCCACTTGGATTTTTTTCTTTATTCACCCATGATTTGTAGCCCCGCCCCAGCTTCCATGGAAAGCACTGCAGTCTTTTAATTAAAAAAAAAATCCTCATATTTTGTGCACTCTGAATGTGAACCATCACAGACATCTCAAGGTAATTTTGTATAGGCAGATTTTGTATTTGTACAGCAATTTTACCTTTCTGATTGTTATGAAAGTGCTTGAGAGCCAGAAATGTGGTGAGGTGGGGGAACGTACCAATTTCTTCCTTGCCTGAGAGTCTAAGCAGTGCCTCATAGGAAATCCCTTGGCCATCATACAATCGCCGGAGCAAGGATGGAGGCAGCCTATAAGGATCGGAGCTCTTCTATGGAGAGAAAAAAGAAGGCGACTGGACATTCAGAAGAACCCAAGATGGTGTGGCAATGTACAGCCAAATAGCAAAGGAATTCTCACTTCTTTCATTAACACATACATAGATGTATGTAGTGTATCCAGTGTAAGGAAATACAGCAGACCCATGGTACATGGCTTCACCTATGCAACTTTAAAAGGAGATGTGCTTTGGTATGTTCTGTGGCTGTATGGCCATGTTCTAGATGCATTTCCTCCTGACATTTTTCCTGCATCTGTGGCTGGCATCTTCAGAGGATATGCATTACTGTAAAAGGCAGTAACAAGCAAACTTCAAGTACTCATGAGCCTCCTCTTCTAGCCTTTCCTCAGGGTGTGGGAAATCTGGCACCTGCATCGCCAGGAGGGCAATCATATAGGGGGAAGCATGAGTGTGTATGGTGCACGCAGCTTCCCCATAAATAGATGGCAATACAGGAAGCAGTGCGCCGGTTCTGCCCACCTTCACCCACGGAGCTGGCACAATGTCATCTGATGAGAGCCAACTGGCTCCATGGGTGACCAGGGCTAGATCGGCATATATCACCGATTTTAGACCCGAATGATGAGGTTATAAGTCTAATGCACCTTTGTATGATGGAAGACTGTCTAGACTAGAGTGCCTGAAATATAATGTGTTTCTCATTCTCAAGTCAATGTGGAGAAGATTCTAAACTGGCTGTACTGTAGGCATAGCCTAGGAAAAACCAGAATAATGAAAGCTGACCAAAAAAAACCCCATATTTCCTAACATCCATGCCCAGAGGAAAGCGGTTGTGAAAAGTTTTGCCCACCAAATCCTCTCTCAAGCTATGGAAAGCATGTGAACTGACAGAGAAACTGGGAATAAAAGTTGTGCATCCCTGTACTGACCATTCTGTAAAAGTAGCTGTTTGCTGCTTTCTAGAAATATAGGCAGCTGAGCAATCCCTCCCCAGTAACATTATTCCCATGGCCAAAGCAAAATTAATTGGAGTAGTAGTACATCTTTGGTATGGTTAACCCATCTTAACCTAGCAAGGAAGGGAAAAGCAAATTAAGTAAATAAACAGATCTGGAAAGTCATTGCAAATTGCAGCAACCATACAGACTGTCGCAAGCTGCTGCTTTCAAAGCTGAGCTGCACAAAGCTCTTTCCTCTTCCCACCAAAACTGAAAAAATTGCAATCTCATCTCATGCCTGCAGATTACCTATGAAAAGTGGAGACTAGAGGCTATGTCTAAGATTTGGCAACCCTAGTTTAGAAAGTACACCAGGACTTTAGATGGAATAGATGGGTATAAGATCGTGCATTCATTCTTTCTGCAAATGCCCTCTGTCATCCAAGATTTCCTCACCCCAGCAAAAAAAAACCTTCCAAATTATTTGAAAAGCACATTCTTGAGAAAAATTAAGCAAAACATAAAAGCACCATTGCCTTTGTTCAATAGCCACAGGCACAAAAAACCAATCACGATTCCTCATCTATCCCTTTGCAACTCCTTTGTGATAAGCATCTCCCACTCAAGAGATATGGCTAGCAGGGAGTGCTAGAATAGCTCCACATTCTGATAGAATCTGTCCCTCTTGATACAAAATCCACCCTAATTTCCGATAATCAGTTCAGGTTGTCAATGGAAAAACTTCCCCAAATTACATCTCTTTATACAATGTTTCAAATCTACCCCGAAGACGAAAACTTCAGGGCTATCTAATTTAATCTAGTTAAAATGCTGCTGCCGTAGGTAAAGCAATTTCAGAAGACAGATGATGGGGAGAAGGAAAGTGTTTCCAAAGATCAGGAACATAAAACTCCCTAGGAATTACATCGTAAGAGCCTTAACACTGGTGTAATTTGAGGCATTTTGGGACAGTAGGGAAGCATCAGGAAGAGGCTGGAATGGGAGAGGGTAGAATTGGATTTCTCGGAGCTTTTTATCCTCAAGGGAGCTCATTCAGAAGGGATTTGACAAAAGTAAACACTTAAAACTTCTTGTCCACAAAAGCAATCTGCAATGCACTGCACAAAGCTATTTTGAACAGAGATGGATGTAAAATGTATCTCATATACTGAAGCTCTCCTTTTCATACGTATGAAAGATTATCCCCATTGCACTAATTTAGACATCCACACATGTAAGTTGCCTTGTAGCATAAAATAGTTGATCATAGCTCAGGGAAGCACAAAATCAAAGCCTGCAGTTGTGAGTTTTGAATCCCATGAATGCCATGTAGACCCTATGGACAAGTGGTGTGAAAATGGTGCAGAGCTTGAAAATGTTTCCAGCCGGGATTACAGTTCTCAGAATACTGCAGCCAGCATATCTAATACCCACATAAACAGGAGGATTCAAAGATCTATAGAAAAGTAACTTTTCCAAGCTCTGGAATGTAGCTGTGTCAGGGAGAAATTGACTGCTCACTCCACACTTTATGTAGTGTTGACCAACATTTTTTGTGCAGTTAAGAATACATAACCTATAGCAGTGCATTCATTTCTGCTATGTATTCAAAACTCTACATACCATAGGGGCAATATAAGGACCACAAAAAGTACATCAAACAACATTTACTAGGATTGATGAGGGTATGTCCCCCTGTTAATCATGAAGCAGCTTCTCAGTGCTCCTACTACTTCTCACATTCGTGATTTCTGACACAAGAGGAATTTGAGACATGGGTCTTTTTTGTCCTGTCACACTTGAGATTGCTCACAGGTACCTGCTTCCAAGTGACATGAAAAAAGACTCCCATCAATGTTGCTTCTCAACAGAGAGAAAGGAAGATGTATTTTTCCTTCTTTATTCTTCCTATTGTAGATATGATAAGGTAAAGGTAAAGGTTTCCCCTTGACATTAAGTCTAGTCGTGTCCGATTCTGGGGGGTGTTGCTCATCTCCATTTCTAAACCAAAGAGCTGGCATTGTCCATAGACACCTTTTAGGTCATGTGGCCAGCATTGCAGCATGAAGCGCCGAAGGGAGAGTTAAAAAAGAAGAAAAGACCCCTACATATCACAGATAGATATGATAGAGAGAGTCAGTCAGACAGACAGGAATGGTTTCCCTTTTATTCACCCTCTAAAAGATTTCAACTTCCAAAATATTGGATTTCAAGACATACTTTCCCCCAAATAAATATCTCTAAAATGGTGTGCTTCTTACAATTGATGGCGTCTTAGAATCAAAGAAATATGGCATTGTATCAGAAGAAGGGCATGCAGAAATTCCTCCTTTCATTCACCAGCATCTCACATCCTACTCCTTCAAGACAATGAATTCTCACCTTTACATCAATTCTGTTGGGTGGCTGTTGCTCCTGAGACTCAACGCAGTAACCGTGACACAACTTTGCCACTAGTAAGGACAGCAGCACTGTCAGCACAAAGGGACTCTTCATGTTCTTTTCCTTTTATGAGGGAGAGCTTGAGAAGGGGTAGAAAGTAATAAAGGGATAGCAGGAGATGAAGGAGAGATAAAAAAATATGAGTCTGAATAAGAAAAGCTGATGGATGCCGAAGAGGCACAGAAGTGTCAATAATTATATCCTTCAAACAAAGCAGTTAAGCAGCATGCATTTTATCTAGAACAGTGGTTCTCAACCTTTGGTCCCCAGGTGTTTTGGCCTACAACTTCCAGGAATCCCAGCCAGTTTACCAGCTTTTAGGATTTCTGGGAGTTGGAAGGCCAAACATCTGGGGACCCACAGGTTGAGAACCACTGATCTAGAACCTTAATAGGCACACAAAACATTTACATTTTCTATTAGTGTGAATATCGGGAATCTATCTCCTGTTGCTTCCCTACAATGGCAACATAATAAATGACCAATTAATTATTTGAGGAGCAACGGTTTTATCCAAAGATTAGAAAGCTACGAAAAAACATATCCAAATGTGCACAGGATTGTAAATGCCCCTATAAAAAGGGAAGACTCAGCTACATCCAAGCTCTCGTTTTCCTTCAATACATTGTTACACTTCTGAAGCTGCTGAAACAGGATCCAGCTAGTGCCACCAGAACAAGGTGAAGGCACAGTTCTCTCTCCACAGCAATTGTTATCCAGACACAGAAGGGGGGAATTAATCTATTACACTCACTGGCTTTAATTCCCTGTTCTACTTTCTTCTCATACAGTCTATACGTTACTTATTATTGTCTCCTATCCAGGAATGAAAGGAGTCTGGTTAAACTAACCTTCAGAGCAGCCAGCAATTTTGAGTCATAAATGACTGTCCTTGATGTAGTCCAATAGGGAATTGGTTATGAACCAATATGTCAGTGGGACATATCTCTCAGCTAAAGTCAAAAGCAACCTATGTTATCGTTTCTCTCAAATATCATCCCAGGTATCTGAATATGAAGCCACCATCAGCTTACAAAGTCTTTGCTTAATTGTGTACATGAACTAAAAGACCTATCACAGAACAAGAACAGGTTCCGTACTGTTATTAACAAAAGATGGTATTGCCACAGCCAACAAGAATCTAAGTGGTCATTGTGAGGTCTTTCTAAAAAAACAAAATATTCTCAGTAACAGGCCAGTTTTGTGACAGTGCCCAAAATAATTTGGTTTCTTTATTATTTTACTTTCTTTATGCAAAGCATATGCAATATGGGTTGTAGGTTTTTTTCAGGCTATATGGCCATGGTATTCTTGGGCCAGAAGTCCTTCATTGCAATAGGCTTTGCTATTATCTGTGGTTTTGTATTTCCACATGAAATCCAAGAACATATCCCTCACAGATACGTAAGAAGGTCATATTGCATATGTATTGTCGAAGGCTTTCATGGCCAGAATCACTGGGTTGTTGTAGGTTTTTTCGGGCTATATGGCCATGTTCTAGAGGTATTCTCTCCTGACATTTCGCCTGCATCTATGGCAAGCATCCTGAGGTAGGATGAATGTGGTTCATAGGTTGCCTGATTCCTAAACCAGTTTCAAGTTTTTTAAAAGCTCTCTGAATTAGTTCTAGGAGCATAATGAGAGACATGACACCCCGTGTAGTGGTCTTATTGGTTTGTTGTATTTTTCACCCATTTTAGCTTCAAAACTGCCTTCCAAATGTATACTGACTTTCAGTTATGTCTCAGAAAAGAGCAAAGCAATCTTCCTACATACGCTTCCTTTCTTGTATTTCTAATACTTTGGGTTAATGTACTAGTTTTACTGTTGCAGTGTTCAGGTTTTTTCTTCTTCTGATGGTCACTTGTGTCTTGGCTGGAATATAAAGGTTCAGGGTCAATCCATGCAAATAAGATCCCAGATCACTCTCTTGGCAACACCGTGTAGCTGATGTTGCATCTTGGTCAGTAGTAGCAGCTGTGTGGGACAAAGGCATCCATATCCACAGCTAATAAGCCTCTAATATCTCTATCTGGGAGTTAGCCCTGATGGAGTAAGCCCTATATTTGAAATTTAATAATGAATATAATCTAGTAAAACCATCAGGGAGAAAAAACAATTTCTTCAGCTCATATTTCATATAAGGCAGAAGGAATCCCTCAGATTAGGTTATTGCAATGCACTCTCCTTGGGGCAGCTGATGAAGATGGTTTGGAGATGGCTTCCTGGGGTGCAGAATGCCATTGTTCTATTTGTTGCATTGGGCTTGAACTGGCACTTTAGTGACCTTACTGTACATGATGCCAATTTCTTCTCCATCTAAGGTTTTGGCTTTTCTGCATAAACACAGTAACATGTGTATGTAGAAAATCCAGCACCTTAGCTAGAGGGCCACATGGGTTAGTGGCAAGTGGCCCTCTAGTTATTATTGCAATATAGCTCCCAGCATCTCTGTGTTCACTAGACCTGAGGGAAGCGATAGCTCAGCAGCATCCCAAGGCCACCCACTCCTGTTTTGGAGCACACTATTCTATCATATGATTATCTCCAGAGTCCAAGATCAGTCAATGAGGCCAAAGCTTCAAGAAATCCAGTGAGTTTTTATGTTTTTATTTATTTAAAGCATGAACAGTTTCCACAGGAAGCAGCACCTTTTGGGTTGTGGTCTGGGAATTAAAAATAGGCTCCTATTTGTTGTTTAGTTTAACATAATAACACTATATAAAAAGTGAAGATTTTATTTTGCACCTTCTTTGAAAGTCCTCCACCCCACCCCCACCCCCTTGTGTATGTGTGTTCAAATCACCAGGCCACCCCATGAATTTCATTGGGTTTTCTTAGACAAGAAAAATTAGAAGTGCTTGTCAGGCTTAGAAAATCTATGGGGAAAAGAGCTTCTTTGCCAGAACCTTTGTTAATTGAGGCATCCCTATATATTGTAGTCTGTTTATAGCCCACAGGACTAGAGCTGAGCAGGTTACATGAAGAGCTGTTGATTTTGTCTAGAGACTTGCTCAGATCTGTTGACGGAGGCCAACTATGTGTAGTACTGCAGTCTTTACATATTTCAACATGCAGTTATAGGACTCCCATTAGAATCTTTCTACATAATATTGTGTCAGTTGCCAAAGATACTTAAAAACCACCTACTGACGATTAATTTCTCTTTCAATACTTTTTAACTACCTTCTCAGACTTATAATCAGAATGCCTAAAGATTTTCTACATGCACACACCACTCTTTCAGTGTATGCTTATAAAGGGAGCCCATAGTATCTACTGGGTTGGGCTCCAGACAACCTGTGGATATCAAAATCTGTGGATGTTCAAGTCCCATATTAAGTGAACTACTAAATAAATCAATAATATAAAATTGCAAAATCAAGGTTTACTCCTGGGTTTTAAAAAAATATTGTCAAGCTATGGGTGGTGGAATCCATGGATGCAGAATCCATGAATATGAAATGCCAACTGTATAAGCTTGGGAATTTGAACCTATGCAACTGAATGTCAATATACAATGAGGGAAAGGGTTTCAGCACCCTAGGCTTTATCTGTATAAATTCACGTTTGATATGGTGTGGTAAACAATGTCATATAACTAATATGATTTTTAGCATCTCACTCTTGCACAAGCATGTCCTCATTTATATCTCCTCTGTTCCCATTGAAATGGTCTTGCACATTCACAGACACAGATCTGCACAAAGACATATATGCTTACTTAAGCTTGTGAGCATCTGTTTTGTCTAGTGAATAACGCTTTATTCTATATATCAAAGTTCTCTCAAGCACACTCCTTTCTGTATGCTTGGTCCTGCTTGTTCACACACAGCTCCAACATCTTGATGTTCGCATCCCACATATTAATTTTGCTCATGTCAAAGTTGAGCATCTGCTACTATTCAAACTATTGCTTAAATAGTGTACAGTAGTGTCTCCAGTGCCAATGAGCCATTGACTTTGCTTTTTGTTTTAATCTAAACTTTAAATGCACTCTCCCTCACATAAAGCCTATTTGAGAGAGAAGATTCAGCACTTTGGATGGTTCTTTTGAAATTCACGCTAAAACATAGAGTAGGTTTGCTTCTTCAGCCCCACTGCATCCACCAGCATGCAGTACCTGCATATACAGTAGTTTGTATATAATGAACCATCAGAAAACAAAGGTGTCAATATCTCAGCTGGCTGTATAGACAATTTCAGATTTTGAAATATTTTGGACTTTGGAATTCTGTATAAGTGACACTCAACCTGTGCTACCACAGACTATGGTAATCTCCCATCTACCCATCTTCTTCATTCTGAGACCTTTTATACCTGTTGGATTTAGCTAGAAAGCTTTGAATTTTTTATCCAGAAAGATACCTGTGCTCAGCACTGAGGTAGAATCTGGGGTGAGTATATGCCTATGTTGCACAGAAGCATACTCTCAAACTTAACCTGGACTGGGAACAAGTGACTTCTGGGTGGAGGTGCCAGAATAAGAGCTCCCTTGAGATGGAGAGTATCTTGGAAGTCTTTTGTCCAGGCTCTTGCAAAGTGCAAGAATCGTGTCACTCACAGCTTCTCTGACAGATGGCCATCCCACCTCTGCTTATAAATCTCCAGCAAAATGGAGCCCACCATCTTCCAAAGCAGTCTGTTCAGTTGTTGAGCCAGAGATTAAACCACATGTAAAGTTTCCCCAAAATCTGCCCCCTTGCATTTCCCACCCACTAGTTCTAATCCTGCTCACTGGAAAGAAGGGAAAAACAACCACCAAATCTGCCGCATCTTTTGCCTGACAGCTCTCAGGTATTTGATTTTTTATAACATCATTTCTCCCCCTTAACCTTCCCACCCCCAAGTATACAGTGCATGTGACTCAGCCTTACATGCATCACATAACATCATAAAATATTTGTATTTCATAGCAATTAATTCAAAATGTCACCTGCCTCCAGTGGCAACTAGTCAAAGTACTACAAGAACGTTAAACTAGCTGACCAAGGTGCTGAAAATTATTTCCAAAATACGTTCAGATATACTGAGAATTGTATTGGTTCTTGACCAAATCCTATTAAGGCAAAGTGAACTCAATCCTTCCCCTGACCGAAGGGAGACACATTTTTAATATTTTTGTTCCTATTTTCACTATCAGAGACAAAGAATATAACAGGTTGGCTAGTAAGCTAAAGCAGATACATAACTAATTCATATAATTCCCTTCACTAAGAAGTAAATAATCTCAAATTGCAGTTTGTCAGGCTATGAGATCAGGGTTCGAAACCCCACTCAGCCACAGAAACCCACTAAACAAGTCACACACTCTCAGCTTCTGAGAAAGGCAAGGATAAACCCCAGTGGAACAAGTTAGGTCACCATAAATCAGAAGCTACTTGACGATGTACAACAACAAATACAAACTTTTACTAAGTATAAACTGTGCAGAGATGAAAGGGCCTTATCTACATGAACTCTGCCACCGAAAAACAAAAAAGAAACAGAAACAAACAAAAACATTCCTTAGCCCTCCCCAACTACACTATGTAATAACATTTGAAAAAATATATATTCCTGGTCTGAAAATGTTATTTCCTGCTTAATTGTGCAGTACTTAATTTGAAAGTAGTTGTTATACTCTAGAAACTTCATTTTTGTGGCTGCCACAAACTATATTGGATTGGAGGAAACTACGAATTCATTGAAAAACCATAGCATAATGTGCTACAAGAAATTATTATTATTATTATTATTATTATTATTATTATTATTATTATTATCTCACTTTTCTCCTGCAAAGAGCTCCAAAGTGGCTTTCAACATGTTAAAATACAGTAAAATAAAATACAATATAAAATCAGCAACAATCAAAGACACAAATATAAAACATAATAAGCAATCTTTTTTTCATGTCAGGAGTGACTTGAGAAACTGCAAGTCGCTTCTGGTGTGAGAGAATTGGTCGTCTGCAAGGACGTTGCCCAGGGGATGCCCGGATGTTTTTATCATCCTGTGGGAAGCTTATCTCATCTCTCTGCATGGGAAGATGGAGTTGACAGATGGGAGCTCATTCCGCTCCCCAGATTTGACCCACTGACCTTTCGATCAGCAGTCCTGCTGGCACAAGGGTTTAACCCATGGCACCACTCCTATAAGCAATCAATAGAGCATAAACATAAAAGAGCATTTTAAACCAGTACACATTATTATGGTGTTTTGTCAAATCTTATTGCACTTCGCACCACCCAATGAAGATTAACCATTTCAATTTATTCCCACAAAAACAAAGTTTGGCCAGTTTAATAAATGTTTTCTATGCTTTTATGATAGACCCAATTAAGAAATAACATTTATAACCCAGGAAAAAAAGCTGTGTTACATAGTGTTATGAATCACTTTTTGGCTTTAACAAATTCAATCGCGAGGAGAATTCAAACCAGAGGGCAATCCTCATAATAGGAATGAGGAGGGAAACTGAACCTGTTGGATTTTTGCTGTTTTGTTTACATTAGATACACTAAAGGGCTTCTCAGAATTCTTGCATTGGAAGAGGGCCATCCAATCCAACCCCTTTGCGCCATGAAGGAACACAGAATCAAAGCACTCCTGACAGATGCCCATCCAGTCTCTACCAGTAATTAGAAACCTCCAGAAAAGGAGACCCAGGGGCCTTCGACACAGCCCTATAACCCAGAATATCAAGGCAGAAAATCCCACAATATCTGCTTTGAACTGGGTTTTTTGTTTTGCTTTGTTTTTCTGTCCTGTCAGGAGCAACTTGAGAAACTGCAAGTCACTTCTGGTGTGAGAGAATTGGCTGTCTGCAAGGATGTTGCCCAGGGGACGCCCGGATGTTTTGTTGTTTTACCATCCTTGTGGGAGGCTTCTCTTATGTCCCCGCATGGGGAGCTGGAGCTGAGAGAGGGAGCTCATCCTCACTCTCCCTGGATTTGAACCTGTGACCTGTCGGTCTTCAGTCCTGCCGGCACAGGGGTTTAACCCACTGCGCCACAGGGGGTTATCTGAATCCATATTGCCATATATTCCAGTTCAAAGCAGATAATGTGGGATTTTATTTATCTGCATGGAAGGGGTCCCCATCACTCTCAGAGATGGCATACTCCATGGTGAAACAGTTCTAGCCGTTAGGAAAGTCTTTTTGCTGTTTTGTTTACATTAGATACACTAAAGGGCTTCTCAGAATTCTTGCATTGGAAGAGGGCCAATGTTTAGTTGGACTCTCTTTTCTTTCAAGTTTTCATACAGAAACTTTGGTCTTCCAGATGTTTTGGACTTTGAGTTAAGAGTCCACTGGAGGACCAAAGTTGCTGTGAAGTCCTTCTCCCGGGGTTCATGGAGGGAGGGGAAAACTTCTACAGAATCCTAGGAGCCTGGAGTTGGAGGAGACCCCCTAGGGCCATGCAGTCGGGCCCCATTGTGCCTTGCAGGGACACAGCACCCAAGTCCTCCCGTCCAGTTCAGGCTTAGAGCCCTCCTCAGCCCCCAGCCCTGCTTGCCGCCTCCTGGCGGGTCGGGGAGACTTACCCAAGAGGGAAAGAAAGAGGGGAGGGCGTCCAGTCCAAGACGCAGGGGCCTCTGAGAGGTCGCCCCGTCTGCCTGCCTGCCTGCCTTGCCTTCCGCCGAGCGACGACTCCGAGTCCTCTCTGCGCGCGCTTTCGGGGAGAAGCCACACGCGCGCGCTCAGCTGGAGGGAAGGGTCCCTGGCTGCCCGTTCCCGCCACTTTAAGCAGCAGAGGCTGCCACGGGGGGCGGAGGGGGAGGGGGCTTGGGAAGTGCCCATTGGGTGTGGGCTGGAAGGAGGGAGGGAGGCTCTGGGGGGACTCAACCCCCTTGGACTCACTCCCATCCCTCCCACACAGGAGGAGGAAGACAACTCTTGAGGGGGGAGGAAACATATACCCACCTCATTTCTGGCTCCCACTTTCCTGCTCATTCAGACTGAATGCAAGTTAAAAGTATTGTCGAAGGCTTTCATAGTCGGAATCACTGGGTTGTTGTAGGTTTCTCGGGATGTAGGGCCATGACTAGAAGCATTCTCTCCTGACGTTTCCCCTGCATCTATGGGAGGCATCCTCAGAGGTTGTGAGGTCTATTGGAAATTGGGAAAATTGGTATTGTCGAAGGCTTTCATGGCTGGAATCACTAGGTTGTTGTAGGTTTTTCGGGCTGCATGGCCATGTTCCAGAACAGGGGTGCAGGGGTGCACCCCCTGCTGCAATGCAACCTGAGCCCAGCCACATGCACAATGGAGGACCTTCTTGCAGCAACACCAGAAGCACTCCAAGTGGTCAGATACTGGTCAAAGGACATTTAATCAACTACCAAACTCACACATTTTGTATTTTCTCTGTTTGTTTGCTTTGTTCTGTTAGAAATGTAATATAAGGATAAGATAAGGAGAAGAAAAGGAAAGGAAGAAGGAAAGAAAAGGAAAAGACCATCCTCAAAGAATCTTGGAAGTCAACCGGGAAGAGAAGAACTCTTTTTTTACTTACCCCTTTTTTATATTTCTCTCTTTTTAAACGATTACTTTATTCTTTTCCCCTTTAGACCCTCACTGTTAACCCATTTCTATAAGTCTTCTAGCCCCATACCCTACCCAAACTTTCCTCACTACCACTTTCACTTTCTTTCCACTACCCGTCAAAAACTCTCTTTTATTTATTATATAATATGAAAACTCAATAAAGATTATTTTTAAAAAAGAAAGAAATGTAATATAATTGACTGGTTGCCCTGACACGACAAATAAAAGATCAGGGGTCCTCAAACTAAGGGCCGAGGGCCGAATACAGCCCTCAAGGTCATTTACCCGGCCCTCCTTCAGGGTCAACCTAAGTCTAAAATTGTAGAATCATAGAGTTGGAAGAGACCTCATGGGCCATCCAGTCCAACCCCATTCTGCCAAGAAGCAGGAATATTGCATTCAAAGCACCCGTGACAGATGGCCATCCAGCCTCTGTTTAAAAGCTTCCAAAGAAGGAGCCTCCACCACACTCCGGGGCAGAGAGTTCCACTGCTGAACGGCTCCCACAGTCAGGAAGTTCTTCCTAATGTTCAGATGGAATCTCCTTTCTTGTAGTTTGAAGCCATTGTTCCACGTCCTAGTCTCCAGGGAAGTAAAAAGCAAGCTTGTTCCCTCCTCCCTATGACTTCCTCTCACATATTTATACATGGCTATCATATCTCCTCTCAGCCTTCTCTTCTTCAGGCTAAACATGCCCAGCTCTTTAAGCCACTTCTCATAGGGCTTGTTCTCCAGACCCTTGATCATTTTAGTCGCCCTCCTCTGGACACATTCCAGCTTGTCAACACCTCTCTTCAATTGTGGTGCCCAGAATTGGACACAGTATTCCAGGTGTGGTCTAACCAAGGCAGAATAGAGGGGTAACATGACTTCCCTGGATGACTTGAAAGCACACAACAACAACAACAACAACAACAATCCTATTTCATCAGCCAAAAGCAGGTCCACACTTCCCATTGAAATACTAATAAGTTTATATTTGTTAAAATTGTTCTTCATTTTAATTATTGTATTGTTTTTAAGTGTTTTTGCACTACAAATAAGATATGTGCAGTGTGCATAGGAATTCATTCATGTTTTTTTCAAATTATAATCCAGCCTTCCAACAGTTTGAGGGACTGTGACCTGGCCCTCTCTTTAAAAAGTTTGAGAACCACTGTTCTAGAACATGACCATACTGCTCGAAAAACCAACAACAACCTAAGAATATTCAGTTTGTACATCTGTGAAAAGTCCAGAGTGGGAGAAAGAACTCTTGTCTGTTTGAGGCAGGTGTGATTATTGCCCTGAGAGAAATCTACCCCTCAGAAGGGAAATTCACTCCTGGAAGAATTATGATGTATCCAGTGGATCTTTATCACCTCTCCTTGTTTCCACGACAAGCCAAATAGGTAGTGTTCCATTAACCAGGCAGACTCCAAAAGGGGGAAAAGACTGGGAATGGTAGTCCATTTTCCGGGGTGGGGGGGGGAGGGATTGAAATAAGAAAATCATTTCCCCCACTGATTATTCTCCCCCTTCCCATTTCATAAATGGTTGTTGCGACAACAGCAACATGGGTGGAGGGAATAACAGGAAAGCAGGGAAATGGTTTTGGGGTGTTAGGTAACATCTGTATGGTAATTTGTAGCTCTATTTCTTAGAAAAAAAGCCAGTCTTTCCCTTTTTTAAATGAATGCTTCCATTAGAAAATGCATAAGGATGTGGGTGAACTGTAATTCCCAAAATCTTGAGTCAATCTTTCCCAAACCCTACCAGTATTCAAAGTTGGCCATGTTGGGACTGTGTGCCAAGTTTGGTCCAGATTCGATGTTGGCTGGATTCAGTCCTTTCTGGATAACAGTGAACTACAAATCCCAGTGGTCTGTGAAAGTTGGAGCTGAATTGTGTGAAAGTACTGCAAATCTCATTGTCCATGGACCATCCACCCCAAGCCGCACCAGGGTGTAAAGTGGGTCATGTGGGGGACTGTATGCTAAGTGTGGTCCAGACCCGTCATTCATGAGGGTTGCAGTCACCTGTGGAAGTGAGTGAAGGTCCTGCAAATCCCATCATCCATGGCAAGTGTGGTCCGGATCCATCATTGGTTGGGTTCACCATTCTCTCTGGAGGTAGGTGAACTACAACTTCTATAAATTAAGGTGAATTCCCTGCAAACCTGGTCATGGGGGTTCTGTGTGCCAAATGTGGTCCAGGTCCATTGCTGGTGGGGGTCACAGTGCTGTGTTTTGATGCAGTGAACTACAACTTCCATCATGTTGAGTTAGTCTCACACGCACACACACACCCAGCCCCCTCCGGTATGTTCAGTTGCTAATGAATTCTTTTCAGTTTGCTGTGTGCTACAGGAAAGGGTAGGAAAGGGTTAAGGGAGAGGCAGTGGGTGGGGTCATGCAAATTCAACACCAATGGAGAGAGAAAGAAACACTGGGGTGTGGCACTCACTATAACCTGCAATGTCATTGGAGAGAAGGCCATTGGTGTTTCCTGAGCGGTGGAAGTTATAGCTCTTTGTGGTGGCAAGAGCTTGTCTGTGTAAGAAGTGGACATGCCGCCACATACACACAAACAGATTTTCGCTTTTATTATGTGTGTATATAGATAGATGGCTGAAATTACACTTTAAAATGTCCCTGTTCCAACTTACATACAAATGCAACTTAAGAACAAACCTACAGAATCTAGCTTGTTCATCACTTGGGAACTGCCTGTAATTCTATCACTTCATTCAGCCTGTTCATGCTGAACTGAGCATCAAGCCAGTGGTGCAGGCATGCTTTGGATATTTCCCTTATCAGTCTCAAAGTGCCATAATTCAACCCACAGTTCCTAGTTTATCTTCTCACTGTTCCTATTATTTATTTTTATACCACCTTTCTGCCTAAACAGGGATGCAAGGCAGCCAACAGTTAGCATGACACAATACAATACAAATGAAAAACAAGGCATTAATCACAAATATAAAAGCTTAAAAATAATGAAATCTCTGTGTCATGGTGCATAAAAATTAAAATACAATACAAATAAAAAAGCATGTAACTACAAATATAAAAGTTTAAAAACAATTAAACCTTTGCATTATGAAGCATAAAATTCAAATACAGTAAAAGTTGCAGTTAATTTTTTTTTACAGCTCCTCAAAATCCCACTTACAGCATCCCCAGCAAGCTGCCCCTCATTGTCCCCCAAATACCTGGTGGCAGAGGTATCTCTTGCCCTGCCTGCAAAAGGCCTGTAAGGATGGGGCTCTCTTGGACTCTCTTGGGAGGACATTCCACAGTGCTAGCTCTTAACTCAATATGCTACTCTTACGTCAAAGTGAAACCTGGATTGAGCACCAGCTCTTAACTCAAAACACTCTTCAGCTAGGATGTTCTTAAGTCGAGGTTCCACTGTATGTATCGGTGCCACCATATTCCCTGTCCACTTCAGGGCAGGTAATACTAAAAGCATGATAACAGTATGTCAGACTGTAATTGACCATTTCAAAATAGAATTATGTCCAAGTCTAGTTGCAATATTCAGCCCACTATTTACAACTGGATCCCTACAGAGTGGGGATTTCTAGAGGTGGGGGAGCAATGGGATTGTGTGGTGAACAAGACTAGTTGCAGTGCGGTGGCATTCAAAATGGGAATCTGTATTTATTTATTTATTTATTTATTTATTTATTTTATTCCAATTCTATACTATACCACCGCCTTCTGGATTAAGCCTTAAAGTGGCTCACAAAATAACCTAAAAACAATACAATTCTTAAACACTGAGGAATATTGAGGGATAATGAACAGTGGTCAAAATCCATGTGCCATGTTGCAAACGCATTGTTATTCTTCCCACCCACACTTTAGAAGTCTCACACTATTTGAATTGCTCCCTCAGTATTTCACTCTGTGTATCACGCACAGACACACATATTGTCTTCCCATATTTCGCACCTACCCACTCACACTGTCACTGTTATGTAGGTGTCACTCACACACAAAGAAAGCTGTCACTCTTGTCAACAGGAGAATCCCTTTGAATGAATCCTTCACTTGCTCTTCCTTTATGCTCCAGTTATTCCTCTTTACCAAGTAAGAGTTCTTTTGGCTGTTGGGTGAAATGGTGGTCTCAAATCAAAAGAAAAAATAAAGCAGCAGACCGGTAAAAGGTTCCCCACTTTATGCTTTGAGGGGATATAAGATCATAGAGC